ACATTCACTAATGGAATTTGTCTATCTCTTAACTGCTTGATCTTCTTGTCGGTAATTTTTATAAACATTGTTTTAAATGTAAGGTTATCATTTAATTATATTGTATCTGATATTATTAAATGAGAATGGTCAAACATATATTTTCTTAATTGAGACACATGAAACAAATTATGAAGATTAGAAATAATAGGGGTAAAGAAATTTGGTAAGCAAGAAGACTTGTTTTTCTAAGAATTTGATAAGGACGACCAATAAATTGAGGAGTGAATTTCTTTAATTTCATCACTCTACCAACTCCAATTGTAGATATTACTTTCAAGAATACATTATCACATTCTTCTTGGAATTCAAGGGGTCACCTTTTTTTATCAACATAACTTTTTTATTTACTTTAAGTTGTTCTCAATTTTCCCTAATAATCCTGATTTTCTTCATAGTAAGCTGAATCATATCAAAACCTAAGATTAAATTTTCTTCAATGTCAAACCAACATAAGGGTGTTCTACATTTCCTCTCATACAATGTTTTATAGGATGTCGTAAAATATATTTGTAAGTTAATTCAATCAATGACAAGTATCAATCTCAACTATCAAAATTCTCTCATAAACACGCTCTTAATAAATATTCGAAGGACTTCACATACTATAATTTTTCTTTTTCATTAAAAGCTAGAATAGCTCAGTTGGTTAGAGCATGTTGCTGTTAACCACAGGTCGGAGGTTCAAACCCTCTTTCTAGCAATTTTATTTTTAATTTTATGAACGATTTATTATAACAATGTATTAGTAGATAAATGTGGGATTATCAATTGGTTATTTATTTTATTTATTAATAATTTTTTAGTTATTAATTTTATGTTTATAATTTAATTTAAATAATTTTTTCGCAAAATATTCTGACTTGATTATTATCGTTGATTATTGGTACAATATCATTTTAAATTAAAAATTACATATATGTTTAATTTTTGTTAATATTATAGAAACTTTCATCTTAGTATATTACATGTTCATCTTAATAATTATTATCATTAATTTCATAATAATGTAATTCATTTTTCTCAATATTAGTATCCAAATTCTTGGTAGGTTGGAATTTATTCACTACTCAACATCATGTTAGTGTCTTTCTTGAATGGAAATTTTTCCTCCACCTTATTAATGTTTTCAATTATTTGATTTTTCATGAATTTCGTAATGACTTCTCTCAAACTTTTGTAAATATATAATAGAAAACATAACTAAATTCATACTCACCGAGATACATGAATATTTGATCCTTTAAAACATGGATAAATGCTTTGGAATGGAATACTCTTGAATACTTCCACTTTCTAAATAAAATTTATTTGTCATCTATTATAAAAAATAAAAGACTAATATTAATAACATACATTATAGTATATCATGTCTTACCTAAAACAAAAAAATAATTGGACAACTTAGTTTAGAAAGCATAGACTTCACTTTTTTCAATCAATGTCTTTATTCATTTTCTCTACTTTACATTTTTCAAGTGCAAAATCCCATCCATTTTTACTAAACAGTTCAACTCTTTTTACTAATAAGACCAGGTCTTCAATATTATAAATATGTTTTCATATTCAAGCATTCACAATGTCTTTTTCAATCAAGACTTCAAGCGAATATTCAATTAATGTCATATATGTTGGAGTAGAATAACTAAGGATATTATAAACTTATTATTATAAAAAGCTTTCATAGAGTAAACGATCAATAGTATTTCTTCTACCTACGTAACTATATACCAAGTTGATATTTATTTGTTAAAGCATTAATAAAACAAATCATTCCACCCAGAATAATCATGCATACACTTGTGGTGTTGTCCTCCCATCGAAAACAATTTTATTCTCCCTTCCCCTCAAAATAAACTTAATTAACCAATTTAAGCAAATCCTGCTCCTTACAATAAAACGTATTAATCATATTTTGCACACCCCATTATTCCTCGTATAGCTGGGCCTACCTTGTAAAATTGCATAAACGAGTATTTAGGCACATTCTTTTTTCCCTTACATAATTTCTTCCTGCACTCCTATAATAAAATTCTTTTTACTTTTACATCTATTTTCATCTTCTTAAGGGTTTATTTCTGGTTTAAATTTTTGAATGTCTGATTTTTAAATTCTACTAAAACATTTTAATTTTTTCTTCTCCTATTATTTCAAGAATTACAAAAAAAAGGGTAAGAATCTCCAACTATTTTAAATTTGTATTATTTTTCTATCACGCAAACAGTATTCACACAACAAGATTTTTAGTTGAAAACACGTTTCAGGGATTGTGAGTCATAATTTTTTTTTCCAAAAACATATTCTGGAAATGTATTTCAGAACTCACGAGAATGTTTCTAGAGAAAAATTTTTAAAATATATTTCTGGATTGAATTTTCTAGAACATTTATTCGAAACGTATTTCTAGAAAAGTCAATCCTTATGCATTACAAATTGGGTGTTCCAAAACTCAATTTGATTTTTACAAAATTGTTCCGAATCGAGCAATATGGGTCTCAATATGCAATTTCAGTACAAAAACATGTAATAGATACGTAATATTAACAATGATTACTCATCTTTAAGTGTTGAAAACGATCTTGAATAAAAATGATAAATAAGAAATCAAATCTATATATCTATGAAGGTTGTTAGACAAATGACATCTAGAGGGGTGAATAGATGCACAAATTAAAATAGATGTCAAATTAAAAATTTATTTGTGAGTCAATAATTTGTTAAAGTGGAAGCGATAATATAATCAGGAAAAGGGAAAGAGAAGAGCACACAGAGATTTATACTGGTTCGGGTATAGCCAACCCTACATCTAGTTCCCAGTCAACTCTTAACACAAGAGTGACTCCCCATTCACTATCTTTCAAATTCAGTTTACAAATTACAATCAACTCAGCAGAAGAACCAGTAAAAAGTAAACTAATTAAAAAGACAATCACCTCCTTAGACTAAGGATGAACACCTCCCTAGAATCCCACTAAGGATGAACACCTCCTCTGAACAAATCAAAGGATGAAAACACCTCCTTAGAATCTCACTAAGGATGAACCCCTCCCTAGAATCACACTAGGGATGAAAAACACCTCATTTTCACCAATGCAAAAAGGATGAAGGTAATAAAAATAAGAACAGACACACCTGGGTAATGGAGACAACAAATTGTAGAAGCCTGTAGAATACCAATTTCCAAGAACAAGTGTGATTAACAATGAGAGCACAGAAGGCAGTAGAGAAGAGGGTTTTCTCAAAAAGTGTAAAATATTTTTGTTGCCTTTCTCAGAAATCTTTTTTCAAAAATAATTGAATGTAAATTGTATTTTCGAATTCTGTAATTGTGTGTTTTTTATTTTTCATCAAAACTTAATTAAATAGAAAAATAGCATCAGAAAATGGTCGTTGGACATTAATAATATCATAGAGAAAATCAGGATGTAGTCAAAAATATTTATTCTTTAAAACAGATATATTTTTCAAATTTGAATTGCCATAATTGATTATATTACCAGTATAATTAATTATGATAGAGAAAATCATTTTTCCATTTCTGGTGCATTATAATTAATTATGACAGTGAAAAATATCATGTTATGAATTTTATCACACTTGTGCTTTAGAAACTTATGCATAATATTACTTCATCAACTTGTACCTCCATATCCAGTATTGTAAGACTCTATCTAGTCTTCAGGAATCATCTTGGGCTTGATTGAATCATCATCTTTATCACCTATGTTATAAATTCAGTTTGTCCTTAAATTCATCTTGAATGGTGTTGACTTGAATGTAGTTGACTTGAATCATCATCAAAATCATCTCTTGGGAATGCAGGAATATTTCCATCAATCTCCCTCTCATTGCTTTCAATTGTTGCAGGTAGCATCAATTGTCCTGTGGCGGAGGCCGGGTGGGCCGAGTCACAATCGAATCGTGGTATTTGGGTTATTACTCTTAAGTAAAAAGAGTTGCGCTCTGACTAATAACTATAGTTTTTGGCCTAGTGGTAAGCGCTCGATCCTAACAATTGGTATCAGAGCCAAGGTCATGAGTCCGATTCCTGGTGGGCAATTGTTAAGGGGGAGATTGCTCTTAAGTAAAAAGAGTTGCGCTCTGACTAATAGTGGTAAGCGTTCAATCCTAACAAAGGTGGATAAGATGAGCAACATAGATGCAAAACTTTCACTGGAAAATAAAAGAAGGGATTGGAGTTTGAAACAAAAATTATTAAAAGGATTATTTAGTTATTTTACTTGAGGTCATGGATGTCATGGATGAAGGTGTACGGAAAAAAGTGAGTATTTATTTTTCCAGATCAATGCCCACACAGATTCAGATGAGTGCAGTGTTGTTGGATTAAACTTTTTGCACCCGATGATGTTTTGAGTCGCTAGCTATTAATTCCGGAATTATCATTTCGGAATATATGCATTTTCCATTCCGAAACTAAATGGAACATAAACCAAGAAATTTAATGGTGCATGAAAAATTCCTGTTTCACAATTTGAAAACTGTTTACTTGAGCTGCCAGGGATAATTTAAATCCATGTGCAATTATTTCAGCCATGCCCGAATGTTTAGACTGCATTACACAGTCAAGGTTAATGGAAGAAAGGTTCAATTAAACCATACTAAAAATTCAGGACTCAAATTCTGGGAGTGAACTGAGCTCATAGTGGCAACTGGTATCTTTTGCAGATAGGTACTAAAATATAACGTAAAGAGATCTGTGGAACAGAACTACAAACAAAATTTACATTTCCGTCTTTGTAAGTACTCTCATACAAGGACCACGAGAAAGTGTACTGTCCACAAACTACATAATTTTATCAAACACATCAATATCAAAACAGATTGTATTGGCCTTCACAGAGAATCGTTGACTTGTATCGCTCCATAGTTAACATGCGGGTGAGGCAAGGCAAGCATTACATGGGCAGAAATGACAGTGAGTCTCGCTATTCTGACACCTACTAGACATCAAGCCCGTAGTCTTCTCCAAAATATTTGTCAACTAATGTATTTGCCATAGTTCTCAGATCTTCATTTTCATGAAACTGAAATCTTTCCATTGCTTCAATCCCATCTTCTTGCTCTACAAGCCTTGGGCCCTCACCATTTGGCATCCCCCTCAGGACCTACGAACACAAGAAACCATAATCTATCAGGAGTTTAGATCTCAAATAACTTGGTATGCTCTTGGTTGAGGTGTAATTATGTCATGTTTACAAAAACTAGTAGGCCTGATTTACTGACCAAACCATGTGAATAGACGTGTTCTAGCCTAAAAATATATAAAAAGTAATTATTTAGACAATCATTGAAATCGCTTACCATCTCTATGAACTGCAGTCCTAGCCTTGCAGCTTCAATATCAGCAGATCTAATCAAATCAATAAAACCTGGTATACATCCTTTTTCAACAAGTGCAACCATGTGCTCCGGGATCAGACTTGGCTTGCCAGCACCTTTAATTGGGGCAACACAAAGGTTTCCTAATACATAAGCCACTTCCTTTCTTATATCAAATGGAGCGGCAGAAAAAATTCGCAATAGCAAAGGCACTGCTTCACTAGAATGTATCAACTGTTTGTGCTCAACAGAGCCAGCAGCTATATTAGATAGCACCCAGGCTGCTTCCTGCATATATTGGAAAGCTCATCTTGATTGATCCAAAGATAGATTCACAAAACAAAAATTAAATTTTATACCTTTTTTAAGACCCTGTTTTCACAATTCAGACATTTTACAAGAACTTCTATGGCATTACCTGAAAATGTCATTAAAAAAAAGATATAAGGATTTGATCCTTACTGTGATCAAAATGTATATATGTTCCTCTTAGCAAAAAAAACAAAAGGAAAAATTGACTAGCCTGTAATTTCACGTCCAGGAATGAGAACCTCATTAATTGCATGGGAATCGCCAGCAATGAGATTACCTAAACTGCGCAAAACCTAGAGGGATTTCCCTTTCTTATTAGACTCAACAGATCAATGACAATAACATAAGCACTGTGATTTGTGCGTAATTATATATCACAAGAAAAAGTTACAGATGTCGAAAGATACACTTTTGCAACAACTAAACCAAAAAGAATAAAAGTTGTAGATCATTACCGGAATCATTAATTGCAAACTGTTTGATGTTGATAATTTATTTACAAGTAATTCAAGTACATCACTCTTCACCAGCATGCTGGTGGCTAAATTTGAAAGGGCGGACAGATAAACAACCACCCATGCTACTTCAGTTGCTAATTCATCATCCCTGAGATGAAAAAATGATTAATAAGACAATAATCAGGACAGCCTTCCAAGGGTATACATTCAATGAGTAGGAGAGCTTGTTAACTGTAATACTTTGGAAAATAAGTTTTCCACAAAATCATATTTTGAACTATCATCATTTCTGCTTACACTGCTTCAGACTAAGAAATGACCAAAGATAATACAACAACTAATCCCAAAGTAATACTTACGCTTTCTTCAAGTTTCGGATGATTGCATCCAATATTCCATCAATTCGAACGAGTTCTGTAGCAGCTTTAGGATCTGGGCCCTACGTGGAAACATGCTGAAGTCATGTTAAGTTTCCAGAATGTAAATCATGTCGCAGCAAACACTTCACAAATAAAAAATGCTTATGGAATTTTCCATCTGACACAGACCATAATGCACAAGTAATCACAAATTTAATCACAACATAACAAATCTTAGAAAATACTGCCCCCATCATACAAGCAAATGGACCATGAATTCGGTAACAGATGCAGTAGAACAGCAATTATTAAAGACTTGTTATGAAAAGGTCCATCACTGGAACAAACAACATGCATTAAGCAATTTTTTCAATTGATGTATCTGAAACCTTGATTAGGTTAGACAAAGCCCAGGCAGCTGTTCTAACAGTTGAACCTCTATCTGGTAGCATCATCCTTGCAAGAGGTAGTAACGCTCCTTGAACTAGCAGAACATTCCTCAACTCTTCACCTTCACCAGCCACATTTCCTAGAGCCCAAGCACACTGTTCAGCAACAGGTGGGTAGCTCTTTTCTGCAGACAGGATCATTCATGAATTTTAAATACTAAAATTATTAAAATAGTCTCAACCTTCAAAAACAACTTTGTTATAATAATGCTGAATAGTGTAGAAAAGTGGACATTTAAGAAAAAATAATTATGTTTCAGAAGATCTAAGTTCCTTTCATACCATTCCTTCTCTTTAGATTAAAAAAAAAAGCATCTTATAATTGTTTAACAATTCAGGTTATAAAATTTCCTATTAATTTCTATGATATACAAATAAATAATTCATTTCTTCACATGCCAAAGGTGTCTCAAAAGTTATCACTCACCCCCAAGATGAGCAATAAGTAAGGGCAATGCAGGCAACAATGCTTTCGTTTCTTCTGGATTCCCTGCAGCAATATTTGTGAGACACCAAGCCGCCTCTAGCAACTGCAGAAGGCATTCACCAGAAAATGTAAGCATTAAGAAAAATTCTTCCCACTACTCATCCCATATAATATGCATAGCATGAATATGTAAGCTTTTGGTGAGTACAAATATTCATTCATCATTGAACACCATTCATAGGAAGATGAAACTTCAGACCTGTTCATCTGGAGAACCAAACGAGAGACACTGCACAAGCATGGGTACAGCTCCAGCTTTAAGAGCAGACTCAACAGGAGGAAACTCAGATCTCGACAGCAAACGCCTTAATTCTTGAAGGGCCCCAACCCTTTTCTTCACTGCACCCTTCCCCCTGTCAATTGAACATGTATAGGGCAATGCTTAAGCCAACACTAATGAATATAAGAACTAAATTGACATAATTGAAATCTTTCTCAGTTTGTAAAAAAAAAACACAGCCAAGACAATACCGAATATTTAATAAAAGACCAGTATAGGACTAAAATGATAAAAAAATAAATAAAACAATACAAAACCAATCTTTGGTGTATAAGCTTCCTTTATTCAAAGATCCTCCCACCTAAATCACAAGACTCGTAACATTTGGTGGATTTTGCATCCTCAGACCAACAACGCTATTGACGAATTGTATGTTTAAACTACACAATTTCAATTAAAACAATTTTCACAAAATTGCAAGTCCTTTGCCTTCATTTTCTCACAATAGTCTTCTGCGCTCCTCATGAACTACAAATTGTTTACTAAACCTGTTTCATGGCCTTCCCACAACACCTAATCTATATCTACCATGAACTTTACTCTGTTTGGATTAACTTCTTCACAAACACTATAGAAGAAGAAAACAAGAAACAAGAATTAAATAAACCTCACAACGACCTAAATTTAGCTTATGTATAAGTTCAAAAAAACTTTTGGAAAAAATAATTTCTACATAAGCTAAACATAATTAGCTTACGAAAGCAATTTGTTCCATTTTGCTTCTCATTTTCTTCTCCGTTGAGTACTACAGGAGAAGTTCATTTAATTTCACCCTTTCTTCTCTAGATGCTTATGCAGAAGTGTTATCCAAAGGCAAACAGAGCTGAAGTACAAAACAACCAACAATACCAGCAAGATAAACATTTTAGACGCAACAAGTACGGAAGAGCTTACTGAAAAGTAAGGGAAGATTTCAAATTTTCCACTGCCACCGAAGTCTGAGACTCCAAAATAGATTGCTCTTCATCAATTATCATGTCACTGTCAATGGAAACTTCATCATCGCCACCACCAATGCCGACCCTACAGAGTCTTTTCGCTCGCACCAGCGATTCCCTCCTTTCTTTCCCAACTGCGACTGCATGCTGTCGTCTCCTACTAGCCGCGGCATGTCCAACTGAAACAAAAACTCGCAATTGAATCTCTCGATTAGGTTTGTTGTCAGAATTTTAAAACAGTAACCTTAACATTAGTCTCTGACTTTTTCTTTTCAACTTTTAGTTACCTATAAATAAAAACCTAGGATGAACAGAAAAGTACCTGAGGACTTAATAGGATCCCTCCGGTTAAAAGTGACCCCAGGATCGGCCATTGCAGAGAAGCTCAGTGAGTATGCTTGTTGCGTTTCGTGAGTGAGTCAGAGCTTTGTTTTCTACGTGACACTGTTACCTTCGTTAGCGAGGGTTTTCGCAAAGTTACCACCGAAAAATTAAAAATTTAAGAAGATTCTCATTGGTTACCTCCTCTTAATAACACAAGAATAAAAATAACATTTCACCCTTTAACAATATCCTTTTATAACCTCTTAACATCTTCGAAAATGCAAAAAAGTTTTAATCTAACAAATGCTTCGCAAGAATATCTATAACCAACCATTCATTTTAGATTCTTAAATGAATCCTAAATTTTTACTTCAGAATTTCACAAACATTACCTCATCCAATCTAGCAATTCCCCCATCAAAAGTTATTAAAATTTTATCTAAAATCTCACATGAATTGAAAATAATATAATATTATATAGGTGAAATTTTGTAATATTAAATTAAATATCTTCTCATAATATTAGAGTGAATTCTAATTATAATATTAAAAAAACTGTATCGGTGTAATTGAAATTAATTAATTTATTTTAATCAAATACCTCTATAATTTTTAATAAATAATTTAACATCTTTTGGTGTTATTATTAATCATTTGTTTTATTGATAAAAGAATTAAATTATAATAAAATTACAAAATTAAAATTTATTATTAATTTCTATAAATTGGATTTTAGTTAAAACAATGAAAAATAATTTACATTGTATAATCTTAAACATACAAAATAATTTCACATTTAGAAACTCTAAGGACCCATTTTAAATAAATTAAGAGGAGAAGTAGTATATCCAAAATAAAGTTTAAAACTTTATTGATTAAGTTAAAAAAATTATAAATAGAAAAGTCTAATTATTTTAATTTTATTATTATAAAATTACTATTTTTCTATGATTTATTTTTTAGTTTTTTTTTTCTAGTTTTCTCACTTCCTCTTATACTTCTTTTTAGATCCAACTAAGTCTTAATACTCTTGGAGTAGAGTAGAAGAGATTATCCTCTAATAAAAAATCTAAATAGAGTAAGTTTCTCTTTACTTAATTTTATAACTTTTTTCATATTAGGGATTAGGGTTGTAGGTGGGTTTAAGGGAGTTGCATATAAATTTTGTTGGACAAAAATAATATTGACTAGTTTAAGAATATTGTGAAATGCTCCATTTGTTAATTTTATATTTTTTGTGAATAAGATTTGATTTATTGAAATTTAGCAATTTTGGAAATTTCCTAGCTTAGAGACACTATGTGTTGAAGTAATGAAAGTCAGTTTTTTCAATTTTCATAGGTTAAAAAAATTGGATTATAAAAATGACTTGATCACTTTATTTAAATTAAAAAAATTAATTATTTTAATTATGTATTTTACTTAAATTGAATTTAGGGAAGATGGTAGTATTTAGATTAAATTTAAGGTAAAGTTTTAAAAACAAAATATTGATCAGATTATGTAATTTAGTATTGTCATAAATCCCTTAACGGATTTAATTTTGCTAAATATATTAAAGGCAGCGTTAAGAGTTTAAATTCTATTCCACCTTTTAAATCTGTCAATATTTGAGATAGTGTTATTGAATGTTCAATTTTATAAAAATTTTGCTGAGTAAAATCTTGATAGAAACAAACATTAAAACTCTCTACATAATTCACCCAATCATCTAATATATATTCTTATTTTTCTTCTCATATGATTATAGACTTAAAAATGTTTCTTTTTAATGAAATAAAATTTATTTCTATACATCTTTTATTTAGAATTTTAAGCTCAATACTTAATTGATTTCATGATTTTTTTTTAAATTATGTTAAAATAAGATGTACATCAATACTTAATTGATTTTACATCTTTTTCTTTTAAATTATGTTAAAATTAGATATACATACTATATTTTTTAATATATATTTGTGATTGAGAAATAATAAAAGTTATTTTTATATTTATGATGTAGTGTGTAAATATTAATTTGGGATTTGAAAAAATATTTTAACTTTGTTTGATCTAGTATATTCATGAGTCTCACATTGTTTAGAAGTTGAGATTAATAATAATTTATATACATATTCTTTTTTAACTCATTGATATATTTTTTAAAAACAAAAAACAAAATCGGACGAGAGATTCAAAACAGACAATACTTCAAATATGAAATATCGTATAATGCGTGAGTATGTAGCGTGATGTAATTACTTGTATAATGCAAAATGATATGATATATTAAAACGTGTTTTACATTTATAAATTAAAATAGTAACTTGTATTATATTTATGCATTATTTTAAATTATAATAATAATTATATATTTACATGTGTATAAATGATATATAATCATGTATTAAAATGGGAATAGATGATTCATGTGATAATCATAAATAAGAATATGTTTGAATTTAATGATAATTTTTTTTCTATTAGTTTGATATATATATATATATATATATTTTTTTTTTCAATAAAAAATATTTAAATTTATATTATATACAAGTAAAACAAATACATTCGAACACAACCTTATCATGCTAACGTATTAATTAAACAAAATTTATCAATAAGTTAAAATCTATTACTTGAATTAAATTAGACATTAAAATCTGATGCTTAAAATTGTAATAATTATAGATTTATAGTATCAAATTAATCATTTTATAGCCTAATTTAATTCAATCAGCAATACTTCTCATGTTAGAAAAGATCTCACGTCAAGTAAACAATTACTATATTAATAATTAATATACAGCTATTCTAAAAAAATGATTGAATGATTATTTAAATATAAGAAACACTATTAAGACATTTATTTTATAAAATCTAGAATATAGATGAGTATTCAAATTATATTTTAATAAAATATATTATTTTAATGAAAAAGACATAGAGGACTCTTCATAAGGGCCCGCACGCACTACACGCGTGTTAAGTTAAGTGGTTTCATTTCACACACTCCACATGTAAACGTAGTAACCTCTCAACGTTTCCACCCTCGTTCACGCCAAGCCCAAACCCCTCTCTCACTCTTCCGCCTCAGATCTACCAATCGAACCCAGCCACCATGACGGTGCCGCCGCTGAAGGCCGTGACGCTGACGCACGTGCGCTACCAGAAAGGCGACCGCGTTGGCCTCTTCTTGGCGTGGATTTCCCTCGTCCCCGTCTTCATCTCCCTCGGTGGCTTCGTCTCCCACTTTCTCTTCCGCCGCGAGCTCCAGGGCATGTTCTTCGCGCTGGGCCTCCTCTTGTCACAGTTCATCAATGAAGTCATCAAGACCACCGTCCAGCAGGCCCGCCCCGCAACTTGCGCTCTCCTCGAGATGTGCGACTCCCACGGCTGGCCCTCCAGCCACTGCCAGTACACGTTCTTCTTCGCCACCTACCTCACCCTCCTCTCCCTCAAAGGTCTCAGCTTCTGGCACGTGCGCGACAACCCTGTCCTACACCTCTTCACGTGGTCCCTCGCGCTTCTCACCATGTACTCCCGCGTCTATCTCGGCTACCACACTGTTGCTCAGGTCTTCGCTGGAACCGCGCTTGGTGTTTTTCTCGGCGCGGTTTGGTTTCGGGTTGTTAACTCCGTTTTGTACCCTTACTTTCCTCTTATCGAAGAGAGCACGTTTGGGAGAATGTTCTATGTAAAAGACACTTCTCATATTAGTAATGTGTTGAAGTTTGAGTATGATATGGCCAGGGCTGAGAGACGGAACCTGGCATCTAATTCTAAAGCGGAATGATTGGTATGTGATCTTCGTGATTATTGTATGGATATGCAATTCAACGTGATGCTAGTTCTTGGAAATTTTAAGAGATTTGAATTTGGTTTGGAATTGTTTGTAGGGTGAAAGTTAATTGTGCTTTCGCTCTGTGAAGTTGAAACTGGAAGCTGATAAACTTGTGTTTCATTACATGATTTGATTCCATCATGCTTTTGCGGGCATTCTGGAATCAAATTCATACGCCTTTATTTGCTAGTTTCAAGTGGCCATTATTAATGTTATTTTTATTGAGCGATCAAATATATATTTTTGAAAGGAACGTTCTTGATCCACATTTTGCTTTATTTGTGTTTCATTGGATTTATTAATCTTGTGAACGAATGCTGTGTAGTGTGTACGTTTTTGTTGGAATTACTTTTAGTTTCTGGGATGATAGAATATGCGGTTGCTGGTATTCTTTCCTTGTTTCGTTTAGGTGCTCCTTTTTTGGTGTGAATTGTTATGTCTCTAGTTGGTTAATTATAGGGCTTGTGTGGACAAACTTTTCTATAAGAACTTCTAGGAGAGGAAACTAAGAAGTCATAGACTAAAATACTAGTGAACCAATTAAAGTGAGAGCTTCAGATCATGGGAACTGAAGCTCAAGGTTATTTGATATTGATTGCAACCATTTTTCCTGTTTAGTATTATGACACTGAGACCTTCTTTACTGCCTGTTGTGTTACTCACGGAACTCACTCCATTGATGATAATTTATGAGTGTATATCTTATATATATATTTGTGAGATAAATTTTGTTAAATACTTGTTGTGCAATGCTTACGTAGGATTTCATGGAGGGAGATAGGAAATCTAAGTGGTGGCTCTCAATTATTTTTTGTTTGATACCAATACTGCTGATAACTGTATCAACAGCAAAAAGCATGAATATGACACGATGCAAGGGACACAGATATGATACCCCAGCGAGCACGGGGATGCAACAAATTTTAAAATTAAACACATGACTAAAAATACAACATATACAAGTAGCATGAAATATAAATCTTAAATCTTATTAAGAGGAAATTGATTTGTTCTAAAAGTGAACACAAGTGATTACAAACATGATAGAATGCTATAATTTGTTTAAGTATTGTGTTCTCATTTGTGTTTGTATAAAAGTTTAAAACTAAACTTAAAATAAATGGAAGATGCAGTTAGTAACTTAGTAGTTTTCAAATGCACTTGTAGTTCAAAGGAGGAGACTGGGGGAAATATAATGCAAAGGAGGAGCATCTTGTTTCAGCTCACAAGGGAAAGGGAACTGATGGGAGGGGAAGTAAACAAATTTACGACCATGTGCTTATAATAGTCAAATCATTAAGGGTAATTTAGTTCAATTAGTGTAATACTTTCTCTCCCCTCGAAATTCCCCAATTCTGGAGGGAAGGTAAAATTGATTGAGGAGGGATTTTAGTCCCCTCCCCTCCACTTCCTTTTAACCAAACACTACGGAAATGTTTGTGAAATACCCCATGTGGGTATGAAATGGTAACTTTGAAGTGTTTGTGCTAACTTGAATAAGCTTGAACTGTGGATAGTTTATATAAAGAACGGGAGGTAACTAAGTAACAACTTATTCAAGTTAGCACAAACTATAGCTTCTAGATTCTGCAGTCACATTTGATTCAGATTCAGGGAGAAGAGCGATATCCAGTAAAGGTTATATTTTACTATCTGTTTTTTTCTTTTCCAGCTTCAGTTCTATAATCTATTCTGACAAGTCATGATCCATATATGCCGTCCCTCCATTTTTATAATATTAGCCTCAACTATTCTAAGTCAGCAGTAGGTCCCTCTTAACTCTGATAGGTTTCTGCTCTGACTTAAGTGCTGAATAGAGGAGGCATATATCTTCAAGGTTTGGAGTCTTGATGATGGCATTTAGCTTAGGCTAGTGTTACAGCCTGGAGGAAAAAGGGGGCGAGGGGACTGGGAGTTATATGTAGGTTGATTATAATAGTTACTCTTTATTTGATGTTGTTCCTTCTGAACCATTTTCATGGCATTCATGTTAAAATATGGTTTAAGATATCACCCAGGCTTCTCTTAATATTCAATTCATTTGAAAATAAGGAACCTGATATTCGGTGTAATTGGTGATATGCTAATAAAATAGCCCAATTTTCTTTCATTTCCGTTCTATTATCACATGGGTACTTAAAGGCTTATTTTTAATTTTATTTTTTAAAACAATAAAAGACGGTTTGATTCAGGGGCAATTATTTGTATTTGTCCCTACAAAAGAAAATGTTTATGTACTTGCAAAATGTATCTACATTTATTAATTCTTCCATTCTCTCATTTTAAGTAGGCTTTGAAAAGCACCAATGTTGTCATGGATAAAATAGCTGCAGGGTAATGGAGTATTTGAGGTATTTAATTTGTATACGACTTTTGTTCCCTGTCATTTTTTAGAATTACATGAATTTGGTTTTAATGTCAGGAAAGAAGCATGAAAACAACTATAAATTAGACATTTGAATAGGCCTCTAATGCTAAATTTATCTTTCTGAAAACTGGAAGTATTAAATGCATTTGTTGAATTATGCTGTCTGCATGCAATTTGAGATCAGCTTTTAGGGTGCTGACAGAGTGGGGGTAGAAGGGACTACCACGATGTTTATAGCAGGATGTGGTGAAGTATTTATTTGGGTGTTTCTCGATTATTTGGTTTATGCGATACAGTGCCTAATGCAGACATTGGTGGTTCAGTTGGGTTGGGATGGTTGTGAAGGATGGCATGCTACTGGGTCATACTATTTTGTATTGTGATTATTAATCTCATATTGAACTTAGTTTAAGAAGAGGAACAGAATAGGTGAACTCTAAATGGAGTTTTAAAGGTTGACTAATTCCATAGAAATTTCCTTTGGGATTTGTTAACTATTATTGTCATTAACGTATTCATTTGCAGGCATTGTTAGGGTCACGTACATAGTGTCTTTTTAATTTAATGTTCACCATAATGAGTTTGTAGTTTGTGCAAATGGCTGAAATATTGAAAATCATAAAGTCTCACATATGCTTTGGTATATTTTGTTCTAACTGACCTTGCACTGTTTCTGTTTTACAGGCACATTGCTCCGAATTTTTCTTCTAGGATTTGTATTCACCGAAAATTATGGCAGTATTATTATACCTTCCTGCTCTGGAGCTTTCCACCATGGAAGCCAAATTGGCTCAGGCTCGTAGATATAAATGGTATCTATGGAAGCAGCAGCAGAGCACAATTATATAATACTATCATGCCTGTGAAATAGAACTGATATAAAAAATAGATGTTTACCTGATGCTATAGATAGAGAAATCAATATTCTGTCTTGTTTACTTACATGGGTTTTAGAAGAAGATACATTGACACAACAAATACAACTAAGGGATTATTCAGATTATTGATAAATTTATAAATATTTGTTTAGACCCTGAAATATTGTATAGGCTCTGTATTGTTTTACATGTTCTTTTGGCACGAAATTGGGTGTTCGATTCGATTTGCATCTCCTTTTAGTGGATCATGCTTTGCTTAGTTTAAACATTTTACCTTTCAATTTTGTATAAATTAAAATTGAGAATACAGACGTACTAAAGCAGGAACTTGCTTGAGCTAAGGAAATGTTAATGTTCCAGGAAGCAAAGCATCGAGGGTAAGTGCTAGAAATGTACACTTTAGTTCAAATCAAAACAACAAAGAGAGGAAGCCACGAGATGGGTAGCAAGATCCGGCCTTTATTTTGTCTTTTTAATCCACTTCAACTGAGAGGATTCTATTCCCCCCCTTCCTATTTCCTATTAAAGGAGGTCTGAAGGTTTTCTTGTGAATCAATTATCTAGAAGTAGAATAAAACAAATCTTAGGTTGTTAAGCGAAGACACGAATATTTATATCAAAAGTTTGAATATGTTTTTACTCTTCTAGAAACAAAAATGTTTTCAAATATTCTATCATCATTTAGTAATGACTAATATATGATATGTTAGCCACCAATTGAAAGAAAAAAATATGAAGTTATAAGTTATTTTAAAATAAGATTATAATTTTATTTTTTGTGGAAAACTAAAATTAAGTTATAATTTTAAGGATTCAAAAACATTTTATCTTTTGTATTTAACATGTTTTAAATATAAAATGAGAGTTCTAGTGATTTGGAAGGTTTGAATTAGATTATTTTATAGGATTGATTTTTAAGTTTATGGATGGATTTATTTTATAAAATAATTATTATATTTTAAAAAAAAATATTTTATTAAGATATATTATAATTTATATATTAAACTATTATATTTAAATTTAAATTAATTTTATTAATATTATATAAATTTAAAAAATAAGTACCGTATTTTCATTTTAATTTCAAAATATATTTTTTATTTTTTAAAAGCGTCAAAATGATTTATTAATCTACAAATAAAGCTAAATTAAAAAAAAAAACTATTTTAAAATATAACCGTTAATTAATTTATTATTCCATAAAATCGAGTCGTGACAACTTAACAATGCCAAAAAAATCCACATGTTTAAACATGGAAATTCATTGTTTCTCAATCTCCTATAAATTTATTTTCATTAATTTCTATATTTAGATAAAATAAACGAGTAATTATTTAATAATAAATAAGAAATTAGCATAAGAACGAACTTATTAATGCATAATTATAAATTGTTACTCCTTCTAATCTTAAAATTGAAAAAAAAGTGTTGTGTTTTTTGTTTTAATTCATTACCATACAACGATTTGATAGTAGTATCATAATATATTTTTTTTATCAAAGACATTATTTCAAATTGGAAAAGTTTGATTCTTACCTTCCTCGAGAATATTTTCTATGGAAAAATTATAAAACCTATTTTCAAAACATTGTTTTCTGAAAGTGTTTTTCTTTTTAAAGTAAATAAAATATAGTAAATATATTTTCCCAGTTTCAAGTTCACATTAAATTAAAAAAAAAAAAAAACTACCAAGATAAAAGTATTTTCTAAACCCTAATCGTTAATAGTGATGAAAAATGGAAATAATCTTTTCTTTTAAAATATATTATTGTTTAGATTTGCAAAAGAAAAACTTCATAAATAACTCTTAATTGGGTATATATGTATATATATAACGTCCAGCGTTCAATAACTCATAAGAGGAATAAAAAAAATCTATAAAGAAATATAAATAAATAATTAAATAATTTTGTATGCCACGAAACAACAATATAAATTTTGTATATATAAAAAAAATGGGGGGTATACAAGGAAAAAATAAAGTATCAAAAGGTATTTGTTAAAAGTGAGTTTTATATATTTTACTAAATATTCATATTTACTTAAAAAAAATACTATTTGTTTTATTAAATACTTTTTCATTTTTTATTTTTTCAATCAACCTATGATGTTCTAAATATATGAGAGTTCCTTTAGTAGTTTTCTTTCATTTTTTTTGTCTTGCTGATGGTTTCATCTTAACCTAATATATTCGAAATAAAATTTAATCCAATAAGCAAAAATTCTCTGCTATTAATTTCACATAAATAAACAAATTTTTTAATTGATATATACTTCTCAATTACTTTGAAATGAATAAATTGTTTAATCATTTGATGAAGGTGAATTATCCAGTCAACAAAAATCTACGAAGTTAGTTTCTTAAATTATAATCAATAATTAATTTATTAAAATTATAAAAATTGTGCAATCTAAATGAAATTCTTCAATCAACGGTTATTATACATTGACATTAGTCAATACATTCTGAAAACATAAAATAAGAATTAAAATAACTAAAATATAATATATAATTTTTTGACTGAACTAAAATCCTTCTTCTACATTATCCGAAATGGGTAGTGATCTACAAATATGGAAAGAAGCGGGAAGCACGTGATGCAAGTGACGCACGTGAGACCAAAGTTTTAACTACTCACATTTCTATCTCTATATATACTTTTATTTTTGATTTGGATCACTTGCAAACTCAAAGAACACGTTCTCTTAGGTTTGTGATTATTGCAGTTACTATGAAAACCTAGTTGAGAAATTCACGCGTTCAGATTTCGTTTTTCTGAATGTGGCCCCTTCTCTTAGTCATTGCTGTGGCTGGATCCACTGGTTTCGCAACCAAACGCTTTCTTAGTAGTCACAGGAACGCCGGTGAGGTTGAACACGCTTATCTCCACGATCCAAGTGCTTTTAGCTTTTCCAGTTCTGAAAGCGCTTCTCAGCGTGAAGGAGTCTTCACGTTTTCATGCTCCAAATGTCTGACACAGCAGGATGGACCTAAGAGTAGAAGATCCCGAGCCTCCAAGAACGGAGTTAGGGCTCCGAAGGTTGACGTGCGATCGGAGCAGAGAAACGGTAGAAAGAGAGTACGTTTTGTCTTGAAGAAGAGGGAAATTGCAAAGAATGTAGCTGCCCAGGCTCCGTTTTGTTCTTTCAAAGGTTAGATTTGAGTTTTACTAATGTCTAGGTCTGTCAGATTGGTGTTTTTGTTGTATTTTTGTACAGTGTAATTGTGGTTTTGAAGGTGTTGGTGTATAGGGTCAATGTTTATGGTTAATGATTTTTAATTTACAATTATGACCTCTGTGCACGAATTTTAAATCAGGGAAATTTTGTTTGTGAAATTTCAGAGGTTAGTGGAGCTTGGTAGCAATTGTGTTGCATGACACGGTAGATGGAATACAAGAGATGAAAATTAATGAATAATGGTTAATGATGTTGTATGTTGACATTATAAATTTCATGCATGAATAAAATGACTATTTTCCATGGAATCATTTCACAGATGGCAGAGATCACTAAATTCTTTACACCTAGGATTATGAATGATATGTAGTTTTAAAGGTTTTTAATTGCGGTGGCAGTTTGGATGCAATTTTTAATTTTGCGGGAAATTGTAGAAAAATGCGGTGGACCTTTGTGGCCAAAATTGTAGTCGCAGATCATTTTTTAAACCCTGACCCGAACTATTGGGAATTTTTTGAAACCGTATTCTCTTCATTTTTGTTGCTTTTTGTTTGTTAGATTGGCGCTGCTATTTTTTTTATATTTTATTTTTTTTCTGTTATTGGATCTGTTCAATCTGTTTGCGTGCCTTTTTTACTCAATAGTAGATGACTGGTTGGTTTCAAAAACAATTTTTTTTTTCTAAGATTATTCAACCTTGTAATAAGGTATTTTACTTTTAAAAGTATGAAATCCTCTTGTTCTTAATCCACGAAAACTGAGTTCAGCTTCATACTGTATCCTTCAGATAACTCTTTGTTTGGTTGGGGACTTTGCTTTGGCATCATGTATATGATGTCGGCTGGAAAAGCTGAGATCAATAAGCTGAACAAGACCATGAACGAGACAGTTAAACTCGTTCAGGAACTGAAATCTGAGGTCAACAGAAGAAAATCGTCATGTGATTTTCAAAATTTGGATTCTGTTGTCAATGGTGTTAAGAACTCTTGCAAAATCAGAGGCAGGAATGAAGCAATGCACAAGAATACAAACAGTAAGCTCAGAGACACTGGTCTCAAAATTTGGATTCCTGCTGTAAATGATTGTGGTGAATGTGGGAGTAGTGCTCTGACTGAAGAACCAGAACCGCAGGTTCTGGAAATGGATCAACTGGAAGCAGAACTTGAGTTTGAACTCCAAAAGCTTTCTGGGTGTACTACTGGCGGACCTTGCTATGAAGAAATAAAGCCAAACATAGATGAGGTGAACTTCTTGTGAAGATTCTTTCTTTTGTTATCTCACATTCATAATATATTAAATATGCATCTATTTAGTCTGCAGAATGCTGATACATATGTGTGTTGTCAATTCTACGGTGCAACTTTTCCGCTTCTTTTCTCTCTTTTGATCACCCCGAGCAATGGTGGTTTTTTTCTCCTGCTCTGGACTTTTCTCTTCATGAGAAGCATTTTGTCTTCATGATTTCAGTGTTTAATCTATAAAACTATGTGCAGTTTGAAGCTCCAGATGAAGGCTATCATGGAACAGATGACTGGAATGTAAATTGCTCTGAATCTCATGGTGTGTCCGCTTCCGAACTGCATCAGAAATTAAGCCACCTACTGATGAAACAGCAAGAAAATCAGATCATGGAGCTAGAATCTGAACTGCACCAAACTCAATCAAATCTTCATGAGAAGGAAGCTGAACTCCAGGCACTCAAGAACTGTGTCAAACGCCTTACTGAGCTCTCGCTATCCACAGTTTCAGGCATGATCAAATCTAGAATAATTCCACACGCCTCTTGTTAACAGTCTCCTTTTAGACTTGCATGTTTGTCATTAACATTTTTATGGTCCCCCTTTGGAACTATTTTGAATGGTCTAAACGAGTTCATCTTGTGAAGGTTTTGTAAAGAAAATTGTTAGGACATAAGCACAAGAGGAGATCTTAATCCAAAATACCAGTCCATTAAGAGTCTCAAGATTTAAATCCTACATCAAGTAATTCATTCTACATGATGTGGGACTACTAACGTTGTCACCTCCTTTAAGGTTGACGTGTACTGTGGCTTTCACTCTATCGATACTGATTTGGTGGTACCTTTTCTCTTTTTAATGGCTTAACTCACCTATCAGTTTTCGTTTTGCATCTTAATCTAACTTCTAGATAGTCTTTTTCGTAGTCCAACTCTAAATGAAAGCACAATTTTTTACTCAAGAGGATAACTCAATCCAAAAGACTAGTCCATTAGATAGAAGAACTTCAATATTTAAGTATCACATAAGGTAGTTCATTCTACTTGACGTGGTACGCCTAACAAAAAGTCTGCACGTGTTCATTTCCTTTTTACTATTATTGATCATTTTATTTAAAGACAGTGTCCTTTATTCATATTCATTTTGCGTTACTAGGTTTTATTAATGGAACTTGTCTCTCTTACACTACTACATTGTTTGTCAGATGATGAAACTCAAGCTCTCACTGATCCAAAGGGAACAAGCGATTGTGGCAACCATAACATAGATTTTGAGTTGAAGCATTCAGTTGTTGGGACGAAAAGACCTCTTGATTCTGAATCTTGCTCGTGTTACATGTAAAACGACACTGATCTCTGTAGGGATACAATTGTACAAGGTATATAATTTTTTTATCTGTAGTCAGATAAAAGGGTAAATTAGTTCACAATTCCCATCCTTAGTATAACCTAGTTATTATGCCGTATGTTGTATATGTATAAATTATTTAAGTAGATATAATTATCAAATACAGCAACTCGGTAATCGGATACCGATATCTTCCATTAGCATCAAGTTCACCCGTATTTATTTTTAATACATGTAACGTGGTGAGCAGCCCATGTTAGTGACTCTAGTATATTATACATGGCAGGAGATCTGATTATTTGATATTTGTTTTGTCGTCTACTTTTTGGAGCTAAACTCTGAGTGATTCCCGAGTGACTTGGTTGGGGCCATTTCTTTTCTGTTTAATGGTCAAGCTATATTTGAGTGGCAGAAGGAAAAAAAAGGGTGTTTCCTTCAGCCTTTTGTTTGACTTTTGGTTCTCTTGTTGGGCGATCATGGGTCAGCCCACTTTCTAGAGTCATGTCACTCAAAAATAGGATTGCAATTTGCACTCACTCACACTTGGGAAGTCCATTAAGGTTAGGATTGGAAAATGGATAGAAGCGCTGCGCTATCAGCGGAATCTGTGGTTGACTCCTTGCCTATCGTGGTGGGGTTTCACTTTTTGGGAGCGTCGCTTCTTTCTTTTTTCTCCCAATTTTGCTAACCATTGTCCCAAGAAGTGATAACAATTTCTTGGAAACTGTAAACTAATAGAATGAATAATTGTCGACAAAAATAGTGAAAGATTTTCTCATCTGGTTGATACTAGTCCAAATCAATTAGGCCGAAATTTAGGTGTATTGAAAAAAGAAAAAAAGTGCAATCTACTACTGTAACATCAATAACAGTAATAATAAGTAGTAGTCTTTTGAAATATTTGCACCCATGTTCAAATAACAGCATAATTAGTTCCACATTTAACCGATACATATGTGTTAAGTGAGAAACAATAAACTGTCCTTGCTTTAATTTCGTTCAGTGACGCGAAAATGGACGTTGGATACTTTGGATTCGGATGTGTGTCGAACGCGGGTCCACACACTAGACCTATTTTAATCTGAAGAGGCAGTTACTAGGTCAAATCATTACTAAGACCTCTGAAATTCTATATTTACTTCTGCATGTGCTTAATGGAAACGACTCAAAAGCAAAAACAAAATCAGTACAATGAAGTTGATTGCGTTTTAGGACGCTGAAGCTTGCGAGTTTGGAAGTTCTAAAATAAGCACTGTTCTGGAGTATTGATTACACGCAAGCATTGCTTTCGCAGGCGATCTGCACGCACAACTACGGACACCAGCAAACAGTCTGGTTGACGTGAATTGAAAAAAGCTTGTGACTCTTCCTTCCCTGGAATTCCACTGATCCTGTTCATAGGTTTTGGAATTAACTCAGGATGATGAACAACGTGGGGCAGGAAAATGTCATGTCAAAATAATTTGAAGAATGATGAAATTGATTTGGCGAAAGAACATTCAAGTGACTGAACACCCACTCTCTGGATGCATATTCTTCCTCCTTCCTTTTTCTCTTTGAGGTTAAATCAATCTTTTTAGTTTTTATACGTGTCTTAACAATACATCATTTTTTATACCAATACTGTTTTAGAGGTTTTCCGGGATATAAATTATACAATAAATTTCCTAACAATACTGCCAATGAAGTACGTTTATAATGCGGATTTGAAATTACAAAAACAAAACAAAAATGACCCAAGTTATTTTTTTTATAAAGCACTCTTTAAACTGGAATAATTTTAATGCTAATTTATTTATGTTCTCGATGGTACCAAAGATTTTAATTTGAGAAATAAAAAATTCAAATTAAAGATGGAAGGTATTCAATAAATAAGTTCACATATTAAATATTTAACGAGTAACTTAAATAATTAAAAAAACTAATATAATTAATTACTAATTTATATTCTCTCTTTAAATCCAATTGAAGTTTCCTGTTTCGCTGTTCAATTTAACATTCAATACTACCTACAGCGTAGATAGGTAGATATTACATTATTATTATTATTATTATTTACTCCTATAATCCTTAATAACACTTCTAACATAATCACACATATAAAAGAATTTAATTTAATTTTTAACTAAGTATTATCAATATACTAAATTAACCTCCAAATGTTAATAACTTTTAAAATTTTCTGCTCACTATTTATTGATACAAAACACAAATAATCATTAATATTTGATAGAGATAAATAAGAAAAACAAATATAAATTTACATAGAAATTATGAACGGTCTTATAAATAAATCAACAATTTTTTTCTAACATGGGACAATAAAAACAGAAAAGAGTACAATATAACTATATTAAATATTATTGAATTAAAATTATATCCGTTATAGTAATTTAACCCTGTTAAAGGAGAACTGTCTCCGATAAAATTATGTCTAAAATCTATTAAAACTAACATTCATCATAATCTTTCTTTTAAATCTAATGTCTTGTTAAAACACTCTCAAAAGTAGGTTTATACATATAACTTATAAGACTATACAAGCAAGGAAAACTAATTTGAAGGAACAATATTATGTGAATTATTTAAATAATTTTTCAAAATTAATTTTGCGGGTTGATGTAATATTAAATATTAGAATTATTCGTCACTACTCTCTTTAAATGCCTATTACTTCTTTTTCGTTACACATCATTAATTATTAGTTTCAAGACGAAGTTACGAAGATTTATTAATAACAAAAAATGTTTTATATAATACTTTCATCGTTATTTTTACACAGACAATAATAGTTTGTTAAATGATTTTTATTTTTGGGTAACATTGATCTAACATTATTATTGAACTAGATCTAAATATTGTGAAGAAGCACTTATAGATGGATATATGTTTCAATTATAAATATTTCATTAGCATTTCATGCTTTTTTTATCTTCTTTTATTAATCGTATTATTATTCATTTATATGTTATTTATATGTTAAATACAGTAAGTTAACTTGATTGATAGGCCAAGGAGAACCTTACGTTCTAACTCCTCCAAATATCATCAAAACTCATCCATCAATGCGATAAGATCAAAACCAAATTTACATGAAAACAAAATATGAATAACAAATACATTTCTTTTTCCATTGTTTTTTTAACCAGAAAGACAAGCTTCCCATATTTTGAGTGTGTTTCACTAAATAGCATGGCACAGCATAAAAGTCAAGTGTACCAAATTTCACAAAAAGTAGAATAAAAACAAGGGTGAAGAAAGAGATATATGTAATACTTATAATACTATCTATCTTCTTACCCTCTTTAAGCCTTTCTCCACCACCAAGAATACAAAACACAAAGAAACAACAAGAGTAAGAAACAGAGCACAGAGTGGTTGTTGGGGGCTGAAGAGAGAGAGGAACATAGCAACATGAAGCCACATACCAAACCCATTTCAAGTCCGGGTCGAACCGAGAAGTTTCCGCCACCGTTGATGAGATTTTTGAGAAACAATGCCGGAAGCAGAAGCAGAGGAAGGTCGAGATCCACCACCACCATTTTCCCAAGGAAGAAGAACACCGCCATTGAAACCCAAGAACCCTCTTCCCCGAAAGTCACGTGCATGGGGCAAGTCCGTGTTAAACGCTCCACCGGTAAAAGGGTACCGTCCGCCGCCGACGGAGCTCCGACCAAGTGCCGGTGCAGATGGCGGGTCCCACATGCCCTGTTTTTCAGTCGTTTAACAAAACCCAGTTTTTGTTTCCCCTTTCAGTGCAAACGAGTTTGGCCCAATTGGGGGTTCTCAAGAAGAGACAAAAGGGATTCCAAAGTTACCGAAACTTCGCCGAAAACAGAGTTGAACTTCAGGTTAAGGTCTAACCCTAATTACGACGACTCAGAAAGTGAAAACAGAGCCACCCCTAGCGCTTTCGTTTCTAACACCACAACTACCCCACCGAGGAATGCTTTGCTATTAACGCGCTGCAGATCCGCTCCGTACAGTTATCCAAGAAGGTTGTGGAACGAAGAGATAGAGGCTGAAAACAGAGTACCCGATGAGAAAAACATAGACCCAAAGTTTGAGGCGAAGTTGCGGTTCTTCAAAGAGCTTGAGGAGTCACTGAGAGAGAGAATAATGGAGTCAGAAAAGGCCAGGGAGGACTCTGACTCTGCGCGTCCTTTGGTGCTGACAAGGTGCAAATCTGAACCAGCAAGAACCACGCAAAAACTCGCTTCTGAGATGAACGGTGTTTCCAAAACTTTGGGGTTCGCTCGTGCCATCATTTCACATGGTTTGTGATTATTCTATTCTCATCTCTGTACCTCTATTACTTGCTCTGTTTAGTGTTTTTCCTTCTTTGTTAATTTATTATCTTATTCTTATTATATTACTGAGTTCAATAAAGTTATGAAAATAAATTTTAGGCGATTTGGGGTGATGTATTATCTTCCTTTGTAATAATAAAAAGATTTATGGAGCTGCGGAGAGAATCTCTATGCTCTATGTAATACTAAAAAGATACCTTGGTATTGAATACAAGAAACTTGTCCTTAATTTGAAGTGTTGCTTTTCATGTTTTTCTGGGTTTGCTTTTGTTCTTTGTTTTTCTCAGATGGTGCAATTTCCTTCATGTCCTGGTTTTTGTTTATGTTCTTAAAACTTAGTTTAATCTATGAGAAATTATTGAATATTATGAGATTAATGTGTTTGTATTCAATTTCCTCATTTTCACAAATTGAGTTCTGAAGTCATCTTGTAAATTAAAAGCTTTATTCTCTATTACATTAAAATTGGTTAAAATCGTGTTTAGTCGTATTTATGATTACTAAGTCTACATGATAGTTATGCTAATTTTTTTTTAAAACAAACACATTTATTTTATTTTATTTTTTCATTTTTTCTAAATATACATTTATATTTTTATATTTTTAATAAATGAGAGTTATCTCTATTATGTTTTCATACAAATATCATATCAATTAAAACTTCAATAAAATTATGAAATTTAAGATTTAAAATTAAAAATAAATAATTTAAAAAATTGAATGAAAAAATTATTATATATTAAAATGTAATAAAAATTATATTGTCATTAAATTATAAAATTATCTTATTATTATTTAGAATGTTATTCGTATTATTATTTTAGACATGTATTTATACAATATAATTTGATAATGATTTAATATACATTAAAATTGTGTAAAATAATTAGGTACGAAAACTACAGATAATTAAAATTGATAAAATAGAAACTTAAATAACAGAATTTATAAAATATAGAAAAACAAAATTATATTATATTTATTTTCTTAAAGTTTGGTTTGCCATTTTCTTGTTTTGGGAAAATGTATGTATGTCAATGCATAAATATTATTTTAAAAATTTAAATGTAATATATAAAATTATTTTTAATAATAATTGAAGTTTTATTTTGATATACAATAAAACATTTCATTATAATTCATCTATATACTGATGTAAAACTCAATTGGATTAAAAAAAAATGACATTAATAATAGGTTTTGTTGCTTGCTCAACTAAGATCCAATATAAAAGCTTAAATTGCTACATGTTTTATTTACTTAAAGATCCAAATTATTATCCTAATTGTATTACGGTTTTCTTCTCCAATTTATTCTGAATATTTAGAACATACAAAATAATGAAGATTTTATCCAGGTTCTTTCGCTACTAAGAAAATGAAAAAAAAAAAAATTAATGAAGTAAAAGACTAACATGTATTTTTAAATCATTTGTTAAAAAATAAAGTTAACAATATTTGTGAAATTAGTATGAAATGATTATATATATATATATATATATATATATATATATATATATATATATATATATATATATATATTTTTTTTTTTACAACTGATTGGAAATATTTAATAAATTACATGTGAAATTGGAATTAAAAGTGTAAGGCTAGAACAATTGGGCTACCTGTGCTGGGCTTAATTAAAGCTTGTTATCATTAATCTTAATCATCATACCACTACGGTTTGTTGAGAAATTCTCTCTTTTTTGCTAAGTTCACCTCCACATTTTCCGAAAACACTCAGAAGAAAAAAAAAATGCGTTTTTTGTTGTAACTAGTTGTTTTTTGAGAAAGTATTTTCTATATCTTGATTGGAACTGAATCACCTAATAAGTTTAATTGCTAAGGATAAAATATAATTATTAATTATTAAAAATTATTAATTTTAAAGTAAGTTCTTTTATTGAGATTGATATTTGGTAATAAATATAAAATCTAGCTATTGAGTAAATGATTAATGATTTTTATCAATTCATTAGTATAGATACATGAGAACTAATATGCATAAGAGTATATTCAATCTCAACATTATTATTTACTTCTATTTTTTTAATTTTATGCTTGCATTTAGTAACTTATCTTCTATTTTTTTATTCTAATATTGAAGTAAAAAATAGATCTGTATGAATATATTTGAATAAAATTTTTCCTACTTTAAATAGATATAAATATAAAATAAGTTAGAATCACATGAGTTCAATTTGTTATAACGAAGAATTCGTTTTTTCAATTTTTTTGTTAATTTTTAACAATAAATATTAATATTATTTATTATTATTAATTATTTTATTCGTTTATAATAAATTTAATAATAATAATAATAACAAAATAATGATATAAAAATTATTAAAATATATATAACAAAAGTTAACTTGGAAAATGTTATAAAAAAAATCATTCTTCTTAACAAAATTAAAATAACAATATAAAGTCTTGATTAAAAACACGACTTCTAAATCATGGTTCTAATTACGATTTACCTACGTAAAAATTATATAAATTGATAATTTAAAAAAAAATTACAGTGTGCTTTGGCTTTAAAAAATATTATATATGTAAAGATGATTATTATGAAGAAGAAAAGGAAGAAGTTGAAGCATATATGGTGAGAGGTGAAATCAGATCCTTAATGAAGGAAGGAAGTGTGGTGCAGTACAACACAAGTGCAGACAACTGGGAACTGCCATGCTTCAACTCCAGCCATGAATGGGTTGTTCATCATCTTCCAATTTCCATCAAACCTAACTCCTCATTAAAGCCAGGAACCACTTCGTTTAAAACAACCATCACTCACTTCATTTTTTTCCCCCTTCTTTTTATATCTAAAAGAGTTTAGGTTAAATGATTTCATAATTGAGTTAATAACATATTTTACCACCTAATTACTATTTATTATTTTATAAATTTTACTATTCAATTTTATAATGACATTTCATTTTAAATTAACGACGTGCTATAATGTGAAATACGTAAAAATTGGAAATTTTCATTATAAATTCACGGAAAATAAACTTGAATAGTACATTTTGTGAATTTATAATTATTAAGTGATAAAAAACATTTTAAATTAATTTTTTATACTCTTTTAATTGGGAGTTGAAATAAACAAGAAAAAAAGGAAGCAACAACTAAAATATCTTAAAATGAGCTTTTTGAAAAAAAAAAACTTCTTTTCTACCTTTTAATTAAAAACTATTTTTTTTTCTTTTAAGAAAAAGAGAATAGCAAAATTATAGTTAAAATTTATTCTTTTAATTAATTAAAAAAAAACATTTTTTTTCTGTTAATACAGTAGTGGAATTTTCAACATTTCTTTGACATAATTAATTAAAATAGAAATATCTTTCTCTCATAAGTATTTGAACCAACACATTGTGATTAGGTTTAGATTTCTATATTTATATATTGAATATTGAAAGCAAAAGGCCCACTGTTTAGTCCCATACCAATCTTTTGGACATTTTGAGCAAGCTTTCGTAATGGATTAATTAAGATAATAATTCTTTGAAATTATAAAATTCTTTTAAAAAAAAATCAAATTTGATTAGAAAAATGCTGGTCTTCTACAATTTGTCATCTTACATGTAATTTATTTTTTGAAACTTAAAAAAAAAAATCTCTGATTATTAAGATTATGAAGAATATAATTAAAAATAGATTTAATTTGGTCCATTTTTAAAAATATTTTTTAGTTGATGGATACGATGAATTTATTTGTAAATAATAAATAATTTGTTTTGGTTATCTTTATATTTCTTAAAAATAATGAGATATTTAATTCATTCTATGAAAAATAAAAAAATATTATTCTTAACTATATATTATAATATTATTATAATTGAGATTTTTCAACGATATCATGAAATCAGTCTTCTAAAATCTAGAGCAAATACGGGTGCTACCTGATTAAATGAAATTATGTATGTCATCAAATACAAATAGAACAAACTCAGCACCCAAATCTGTTCATACATGCTTCTAGTTTAGTAATGAAGTTGGTTTTGAAAGATTAAAATGTTTAGTGAATAGTCACCTTTTAGACTCTGTGTGATATAGTTTTTCATGATAATTCAGAAAAAAAAAATGAATCAATTTTAATAGTGAATGAAAAAGAAACAGCAAAATAGTGGTTTTACTTTTACTGTGTCACTTTGATTTTGTAGTGTAGAATCAATTCTCAAAGTGTTGTTGACATGTTAGATAAGATTAAGAAACACACACAACACATGATGCCCCTCCTCGTGACAGATATCAATTATACACACATGGACTTGTCTCAACCATACTTCATCTCTTCCTCTTAACTAATTTCAAGACCAAGTTCTGGTGGAAAGTTTAAGAACATTAGAATTCTAGGTTTGAGTCGAAGTTTCCTTTTATGAAATTAAATAACATGTAAATAAAAAACAAAGATTTTGATTAAAGATGATATAATGTTGTCTTGTATTATTATATGATGTCTCATTCATGAATATCAGTACAGTATAACCTCATTTGGTTAATCTCATCAAAGGTGTTAATCTCCTTTAAAGTTTTAAACCTCATCCAAACACAGCCCTAAAATTGATGAACCCTAAGAGAAATAAGGCCATAATACGGGTATGGAATAGAAGCATTAATGTTCCATACCAACACATTGACACCGGCATCTCACAACTTATTGCTGTGTGAGTGTGTGGATGGCGACAATTTTGATATATATTGTCTTCAACAAACCTGAAAAAGATAAAGAAATGAGAGACATGGTCATGAGCACACTGAGCCTTAGCTGTGAATTTTCCTTCACAGTACCCCCACTTTGTCCCCACCACTTCTAATAATTCATTCAATCCTTTTCCTCCTTATAAATCATCCCACCCTTTCCTTCTTTCTTCTAATTCTTCTAACAAAATTGTTGATCATTTCTCACTTATGGAGATCAGCTCTACCTTCACCACCTACTTCATTCTCATCCTTGCTCTCTCTCCTTTCTCAAGAGGTTTGTTTTTATGCAGGTTTATATGATAATACTACTTAGCAGGTCTTAGTTATATGAGATTGTTAATGAATTGATTGTGAATGTTATACATAGGGGAATCTGAAGCATTGTATTCGGAGATATATGAGATTGATTATAGGGGTCCTGAGACACACTCTTCCACTGTTCCTCCTCCTCATCACTTCCATATTGGTAAGCCACGTTCATCTTCTCAAAAGGGATCACTTAGAGGAACTAAAGCTTTGAGGGATTGTAGTTTCGCAGAAAATAAGGCAAGTCTTTCATATATATATATATATATATGCTTCTTGCCAAATGAAAATCATGGAGTTTTTTCTTTTTTGCTTTACTACCGTATTCATTCATCGTGATCTGGGATTTTAATACCATTGGTGGAATAATATGAATAGTAAGTTTAATGTTCAATACAGCTTTTGTTTGCTGGTTTATTCCATCGAAGCTTTGAATAATTATAATGTCAAATCCTGGGAACAGATTAAGAAAATTACAGTATTCAATATTTTGAATAAAAAAACATGCAGAAGTTGATTTCATTATATTATCTTTTTGCATTATCGATGCTCTTTTATTTTGGATAATTAAAATATTATAAAAGGAATAGTATGCAGAAAAAAATATTCTTAAACTTTTGAGATAACAAATAATCACCAGAATTGAATTCTCTGATTGATCTTTGTTGAATTTTTCATTCTTTAATATGAAGGTTATTTTATATGGAGTGAAAATTTTAATTGCAAAAGATCTTAATTAAAATTTTTTTTTATTTTTTAATTTTACTTAAACTATCATTTTAATATTCTGTTATTTTGAAATATAATCAAACTAACAATTATAGGACGAGATAATTATTGTAGTAGTTCTGTTTTTCTTTTTATTTGTATATATTTTTCAAGAGTTTCTTCGTATTTGTTCATTTGTATATTTTTAAAACGTTTAATAAAATTATTATAATTTGGAACAAAAATTACATGTGTTTTTTTTAAGATTAAAAATAAACAATTTTTTTTTGAGAAAAAGCTAAACAAAATGAATTTTTTAAGAAAAAAAAACACTGTATGTAATAATGTTTTAAAGTAATTTCTGGAAGCATATATTCTAATTTTCTTGTCTGTTTCGGTGTCTTTGTAATATTTATTTGTTCTTCCATAGTGCAGGTTAAGAAAGTACATGGGTGATGATGAGGAGGAGAAAGCTTTAGAAATTAAATGGAGTATGACTTTGATTCATGCTCTCAAACATCAATGTGCTGTTAGAGAGTAATGATTATTGAATGATATAAGCCATGTGTATAATTGATAATAGAAAGAGAAAAACATTTGAATAAATGTATCAATTTTTGAGAAACTGTTGGAGTGATATTGATTGAATAAATGTATAATTGATTATATGAAAAAGAAAAAAAATGTAACATAATCCACTGTTAGTAATTTTCCTATGCTAATTTATTTATGTAAAGAAAAAATGCGCAAAATAATATATAGATCATGTCGAAATATGTAATATATATATATATATATATATATATATATATATATATATATATATATATAATAGACTATTATAAGTTGATCATAAATTCACAATAATAACGACGAATTATTTAGTAAGTTTCCTAAGTTAGTCTTAAAAATTGTATAAGTTGATTTTTAAAATTTTAAAACACTATATTATTCAAAATTTCATAAAACTATATTCATTAGTTTTTATCTTGTTTTGTTACTACCATTTTACATAATTTAAAATTAATGACAACATAGAATTTTTAAAATCTCGATATGTTTCCATGTAAATAGAAATTTCTATTGTAGTTATTTTAATGAAAAGTGTTTATTCTTTGTTCACAAATTATTTGTAGTTATTTGAAACAACTTATATGACGCAAACTTAAAAATTATGAAAATTATTTTAATGAATAATTTTTTCTCTTAATTAATAGATTTTAGAGGAAAAGAGTCTTAAGGTGTGTATGATTTAATTTTGTTTTTGGAGTTTTTAAGAATTAACTTAAAAAAATTATTTTTAAAATAAGTTAATAATTAAAAAAATATATTTTAAAAAAAGAGGATGATCATAAAAATTGAAACATAATTTTGATAACTTTATAACAATAAAAATAAATAATTTAATATTATTATTTGTGAAAACGTTTCCTTTTCAAACATTTGATAAAATTTCTGAGTTGCACGTAACTCAATTTCTTATGAAATTATAAATGTTTTTAGCATCTGCATGGCCTTAGTGTGTATATATTGATACCTACTGCAGTGGTTGAATTGGACCAGACAATAAATTTTCATATTTGGTGAATTTAATGAAGAACATGTGTGTGGCAGCATACAGGGATTGATGAACTTGTATGACAGAAACATGCAACCAAACGCATGTTTTTGAATCTCATTCACCATGAACTCAGGCCAGCGAAGCTTATCGTCTCAATTTTAATGCGTGCGTTCTTTAAACTCTTCATTTAAATTAGATTATTAGATTCATGAACGCAGTTCTTCCTTTTAAGTTTAAGTGTATATGTATCTATGATTTTGAATCTTCTAATCGAATTTAATAAATAGTCTTTCATGAACATATTGGGAAGTGAGTGTTATCATCATTAAAGATAGAATGTTACCACCAAGGAACCACCTAAAAATGATAGATTTTTCTAAGAATTTGTGTGCTATTGTTGTTGCCCTTACCTTACAATGATGGACAATAAATAACAGTGACACAATCGGAACCACACTGTAACAAAAGAATTCAAATATAGTGATAGACAATACAGTGACGACAACAAAACAATACTATAATGAAGAAGAAGACCGAAAATTAAACTGAAATAAGTTTTTGAAAACATTCAACTAAGGAGATAAATTTTAATTTATGTACTTAACTATTTTTAACATGTTTTCTTTGAATTATAAAAATTAAATAATTATGTTTTATTATACGAAAATGAACTTATTTTTAATTTTTTCTTTCATTTAGGCTTAAAAAATTATAATTTTTCATCTTTGACCTCAATCAACCATATTTAGATGGTATATCATTACACAACCGTGAAGAAGAATTATTAAAAATTAATATAACTTTTATTTTATTTTACTTTACAAAAATGTTACTTAATGATATCTAATTAAAGAAACTTTTTTTTTTAATATTAGAATGCTATGATGAGATTTGGCAAATATTTTCTTTAAAAAATTGATGCACTTTGGTAAGACATGTATTGTATTCAAGTGAGCAAATAAGAGAAAGAACAATTAAATATTCACGTGAAAATACAGCTCCATATTAATGGAAAATTGATACAAAGTTTATAGTCTCTTTCTTTTATCTCTTACATAAAATTGATACAAAGTATATTAATAGAAAATTAAATATCTTTCTAAATATATTTGTAAAAATATCTTTTTTACAAATATTGTTATGTAAATTGACACTACTCCTTTCACAAAGAGGGGTATAACTTGTAATCACTATAAACCTAATGGAGACATACCTTTTCTGAATCATTTTGACTGGAAGAGTTTCACTATGTGCTCAACATACAACAATGCAAGGCATCAGTCAACGATAAAGGGATTTTGCAGAAATGGAAGGACTGAAAAGATAGACAACAAAGAAACAAGAAGGATAAGAGAGAAGGTTTTGTAAGCTCAGGAAGTAATGTATAAAGACAACAAGGGAATTCATTAGGGAGGTTGAGGAAGCACATGATGCATTAAAAGCAAAAATGATCTGTACTCGATTTTTAGAATGGGAAGTTTCTACGAACTTGCAAGAGAGTTCCAACCTAGTTCCAAAGATTGCCACTGTTTGATACATCCCAAGATCCTACCTAACATAATACAAACTTTCAATAGTTTTATATAAATATTGATATTTTTCACTCATTGCATGTCGATCAAGTACAGAAACTGGGGTTTGAATGTTGATCAAGTAAACAAAATTTGATCAATCTGAATGCTGATCAAGTAAACAACGCTTGATCGGTCTGAAGGCTGATAAAGTAAAACAAACTTGATGCATTTAAACACCAATAAACGAAAGAAAACTAATTAGCGTGAATATTGACTTGACTTGATTCACAACTTGCATCAATCTAAATAAATTTAATGGATTTGAATATCGATCCAAAGTCTACACGATGCCCACCTATGATTAAAATGATTCATAACTCAGCGTTTTTCGAGATTGGTTATTCCTCTATAGAAATATTAACCTAAGTCATCATGACACCTAGTTCAAAAGATATTCAATAATCCTAAGGCAGGCTAAATGATTAGTTAAGCACAAAATTATTTGTCCCAAATATTTTAACAAAGTACTAAATTTATGTGGTCAAGATTTCAGTCAGTTTAACACAGGGCAAAGATACACATTAAGATAACACCAGAGACCACAGTACGAGAAATTTTTTTTAAGTGTATAATTGAACAACACAGAATATAAAGTGAGGAAAAAGTCTACTCTCCAGGTGCAGAGATGCCCTGCTTCAGTCTTTCCTTCTTCATCTTCTTCTTTGAGATTGGCTTCTTTTTTCTTGGAGGGACTGTCTTCTGTGCATAGGTGTAGAGTACGAAATTTCCAACCAGGAATATCAACAGCAATCCCCCAACAAGCAGGAGAACAATTAATCCTGGGTTGAACCCCTTTGAAGCATTTCCCTAAGCGCAACAAAAAGGAGGTACTACCATGAGGTCCGCGTGAAGGAGCGATCGAGAATAAAAATTGCAAAATTAACAATCGATATATAGGAATTTATTTTGGAACGAGAAAAAAATGCAATAAATAACCACAAACACTTCTCAAAGCAATCATAAGATAAACATATACACTACAGTTTTCCTCAAAGGTGAGCCTCTGTTTATTGTAAAAGGAGAAGAACATGAGAAAGGTTGTTTTATCTAACCTGGTAAGGTAGAACTTTAGCTTTAAAAAAATAGAATATTCTCTAGATAACTATTTTCTGATGGCGCATGCTCGAGATTGGTGATAAAGGTTACGAAATTCAAATATCAGAAGGGGCTAGTTTCATGCCCAAGTGAATTTATAAAATTGCAAGCTGATTTACAAAGAATTGATAAAAAATGGTACTTCTAAGTCTAACGTTAAACAACTTAAGTGAAACAAGTTAGAATTCCAATTTACAAGTTACTAGGATTGAAATTGTTCCGTGTTCTTAATAATATTTTGTTTACAATAAAAACTTACAAGAGTTGTTTTTGAAAATTGTTCTAAAAAATAATATATCATCTTCAGTTTTTTAAAATATAAAAACCAGAACATCTCTAAGAGACTTAGAGCATCTCCCAGGTGTTGTACTCTAAGTGACTTATAGGAGTTGTTTTTGGTATCCTCATGTTTTTTTAGTTGTACTTTGACCTATTCTTCCCCTACTCCGACTCACTAAAAATTAATCATACTAAACACACAAATCTACCTTTGAAATACAGGGAAGAGTAAATGTTAGTTCAGAATATTCCCTACTTCAGAAATGTAAAATGGGTCTTAATCATTTCTTATTGATTGAAACATAATGTTATAGTATGTATGCCCACAAATCAGTCCTTAAGAATGTAAAGATAAGTAATTTTAGTCCCTAAGATTTTATAAATCCTTCATTAATCCATGCTTTTACAAAAACTGTCATCACTTAGCCCTTTTGAGTACAAAAAGACAGTGAATAGCAAAGTAAAAAAAATCAAGACAAAAATGACATTTTCCAAATTCTTGAACAACAAAAAATTTCTAAGTCTAATGGACTAAAATGTCCGACCAATAGGGTATCAAGAATTACTTTAGGAGCTATTTAGCTTGAGAAAACACACTGTTTCATGTTTAATTATAAAAATATCATCTTGCTTGCAATGTAATTTGTCTGCTGATTAAAAAGCTTATACCGAAAACAGTAAAAGCAAAACAAAAGAGAGAGAGAGAAGAAAATAGCTAACAATATAAAGTTGTCATTATTTTCTATACAAACATTTGAAATCATGAAATAAAAGTGGATCACTTTGGTAATTAAAAGTGAAAACAGAATATAAAAAGATAAAGCATATATCTGAAATCAAATTTTCAATCTTGTTGTTGCAAAAAACTTCAAACTTGAATGTTAACCAAAAGTGAATTTTATGCATCAAAGGAAAGGTAACTCTTTCCTTGCGTTTCCAATGTCATTAGACAAAATGAAAACATTAAAACTGAACCAACCGTGAGTGCCCATGTGATTTTTGAACACATCAATGACCTTTCCCGCTCATCCTTGTTAGCATCTAAGACATGGATTGGCATAAACACAAACAAAAACACATCGAACAAATTAAAAAAAGGTATCCCACACATCAAACAAATTAAACCAGAAGAACGTCAGAAACAATAATCACAATAAACAAGCAGAAATCATGACTCAACAGTTATATTTGAGAACAGCAAAATGCAAGTACATAACACAAAATCCAATTATAATTGAATTCAGAATACCGATAATTGAAAGAACAGCATATGCAATCGCAAGAAAAACAAACAAAATGCAGCAAACTAATTAAATAATACAAGGATCCGAGCTTCAGAAAACAAGGTAATGCTCGTTCAAGCTCGATTTGATCTACGATTTATCATCGATTTTAATTTTAATGAATGAAAAGAGAATCAAAATTGAAAGAGAGAAAGGGATTTATATATATATATAAAAAAGGAAGTACCGCGCTATCGAAGGAAGGAGGGACTTTGTCAGCGAATTCGAAGTCATCGGCCATGGACGAACGGCGGAATCAAACAGATCTACAGCAAGAAGAATCACGGGTGTGGGTAGGTGGTGTTTGTTTGTGCTAAATAGAGAACGCTCGTTCAAAATGTGCCATATATCAAACACAATTTTCTACCCTTGCTTTGTCTTTTTTTTTTTTTTTTAATAATTAATTGTCTTAATGAGAAAACCGTAAAAAAGTTGTTTTTTAAATAATTAACTGTTTTTCATTTAATGTTATTTAATGAGTTAGTAAGAATATATTTAAATAGGTCTTGGAAAATTTTCAAGTTGACTTTTTATTACACATTGAAGTTGACATTCAAATATAAATTTTGCTATGGACAAATGTTAAAAATTAACAACATTTAAACATAATTTATCTTTTAATTTCTTTAATTCTTATACATAAATATAAAAATATTATCTTAAAAAAAATGTTAGTAATAATTGGGCTATTTTCATAAGTGGACTGGTCTAATACGCCATTTAAGACTTTGAGATCCATAGTATATCACTACAATATTTAATTTTTGTAAAATGACTAGTTTTTCTTTTTAAAAATAATAAATCTATAGTTAGAGTTGTGTTTTAGATTAAGATAGATTATTAAAACTATATATGTTTTATAATATTTTGTAACTTAAACAATCTTATTATAGATAAACAAGACATTGAATCATGTTTATGAAAATTGAATTAACGATAAACCGGAAATCGATTAAAAAATCAGCTCATTATTTCTAGGCAAAAATTGCCTAAAAAATTATAAAAACGGGTGAAAATTATTTTCATTTTTAAAGGTAATTTTTTAAAGTTAAAATAGTTTAATTTTAATGATAAAATATCTTTAATTTTGTTTCCATTAGAGGATAGATTTTGTTCCAGTTCATGACACGCATATATATGATATATAAAATTGAATCATTCAGACTTGTTTTGTTGGGCACCTATGTTTTGCCAAAAATAACATGTTTTTGTTGGCTGCCAAACATGATGGACTAGAGTTCTTAGTTTTTGTCTGTAAGGAAAACTCACATTGTAATATTCTTTTCCATCTTTCAACCATTATTTGTGTTCCATTCCACATTACCTCACGTCACTACCACAAGTTAATTAGTGCCACGTATATCACCCTATGCAAATTTGCCTTTTGGTTGAAACAATGAGTTATGGGCAAAACATAAATGAAACCAATTATCCCTCTATGCATATTCATCCAACAGTATATGTATATCTCAGCCTTCCAAATATGAAAAAAAGAAAAAAGAGAAAATAGAAAAATCAAAAGATATGGTAAAATAAAGAATTGAAGGTGTTAATAAAAAAGAAAAAAAAAATGAAAGAGAGTGATAAACCAAGAAGGATGTTTGGACTTATAATTTCATAAGATGATAGAATTGGTTATAAATATTATGTGGAATAGTGAGACTGATTAAGAGCGTCAAAACCAATTAATTAAAAAATCCATTTTATGATTATTTTATTTTTATTTTTAATCATTACAAAAGTAATAAATAAAAATATGATTAAATAAGTATAAAAAAATGTTAAAATTGTATTAAAATTTTTATATTATGAAAACTATTAGAGAAATTTTTTTTCATTGACAATTTAAATAATTACTTTTATTACATTTTTGTACTAATTTTGTATTTTATTCTTAATTGTTGAATATAGAGAAAATATGATTTGGAATTAATTTCCCTTGTGTATAAATCACACATAGGGTGGTATATTTATAGTAGAGAGATACAACTAAAAGAGTAACTCGAAAGTAACAGAATAAACAAAAGATATTGTTTGATATTGTGGTTACCAATATCTAACAATATCTTAACAATATCAAATAATATCTAAACAATATCTAACACTCCCCTCAAGTCTGGAGCATACAAATCGTATGTGCCAAGCTTGTTACAAATATAATCAATTCTAGGACCCAGTAAAGATTTAGTAAAAATATCTCGCTAACTGATCACTTGAGTTAACAAACTCAGCCTTGATATCTCCAGACATAATCTTTTCTCGAATAAAATGACAATCAATCTCAATGTGTTTGGTCCTCTCATGAAAGACAGGATTATAACTAATATGAAGAGCAACCTGATTGTCACACACAAGTGTCATTTGAGTGACATCTCCAAATTGTAACTCTCTAAGCAATTGCTTGAGCCAAACAAGTTCACGGGAAGCCGAGGTCATAGCTCTATATTCTGCTTCGCACCTGGATCTTGCCACAACACTTTGTTTCGTACTTTTCCATGAAATCAAGTTACCACCAATGGAGACACAATATCCGGATGTAGATCTTCTATCCGAAGGAGATCCCGCCCAATCAGCATCTCGAGTAGAAAACAACTCTTGTATGGTTATTAGAACCATATAACAATCCTTTTCCAGGAGATCCTTTAATATACTTCAAGATACGAATGATCGCATTCCAATGATCTTCACATGGTGAATTAAGAAATTGACTTACCACACCGATCGCAAAGGAAATGTCGGGACGAGTAACTCGTAAGATAATTCAATTTTCTAACTAATCTTCTATACCGCTCAGGATCAGATATAGGCTCCCCCGATTTGGTAGAAGTTTAGTATTGGGATCCATGGGTGTATCAACAGACTTTGAACTCATCAACCCAGTTTCTTCCAAAATATCTATGGCATACTTCCTCCGAGATATAACAATACCATCATTGGACTGTGCTACCTCAATACCCAAGAAATATCTAAGTTTGCCAAGATCTTTGGTCCGAAAATGGTGACAGAGATGTTGTTTCAACCGAGAGATGTCATGGTTGTCACTACCTGTAAGAACAATGTCATCAACATATACTATCAAGTAAACACATCCAAGCACTCGAGTGTCGATAAAAGACAGAATGATCCGATTCACACCGAGTCATACCAAATTGTTGAACAACCTTGCTAAACTTTCCAAACCAAGCCCTAGGAGACTGTTTTAGGCCATATAGGGATTTGCGAAGACGACATACCATCCCAGAAGACTCCGCCTGAGCAATAAACCCAGGAGGTTGCTCCATATATATTTCTTCTTGCAAATCACCATTAAGGAAAATATTTTTAACATCCAGTTGATAAAGAGGTCATTGTTGAAGAGCAGCCATGGCGATAAATAAACGAACGAAGCCATATTTGCCACGGGGAAAAGGTATCTCCATAATCCAACCCAAAAATTTGAGTATATCCTTTGGCCACAAGACGAGCTTTGAGGCGATCAATAGTACCATCGAGTCCAACTTTGATAGCAAACACCCACCTGCAACCAACAACAGATTTCCCGCACTGTAACGAGACCAATTCCCAAGTTCCACTATTATGAAGAGCACTTAGTTCATCTAACATGACCTGACGCTAACCAGGATGGGCTAAAACTTCACGGACAGTTTTTGGAATTGTCACAGAAGAAATAGAGGAAAGACATGTATAAAAAGGTAATGACAGTCGATGATAACTCAAAACAATATAATGGGGAGAGGGATTACGTGTAGAACGAATACCTTTTCGGAGGGCAATGGGAAGGTCGGACTCATGTGTCGGATCCGGAGGAGACGAGTAGTTGACACTTGAGTAGAGTCACATGGTGGTGGTTGTGATTGGTTTCGAGAACTATAAATCGAAGAGGCAGTGGAGAAGAAGCTAATCATGCGGAGCAGGAACTAATGGTGAAGAAGACACAGTTAGAGGGTCACAAACAATAGGAACATTAAATGTATTAGGAGTGTTGACAAGATTGGATGGAGACAGAGGTGAAGTTTGACTTTTAAAATAAAGAGACAACTCATCAAAGGTGACATCTTTTGACACAAAATAACGGTTAAGAGAAGGAGAAAAACATTTGTATCCTTTTTGTGATCTTGTAAACCCTAAGAAAACACATTTATGTGATCTAGGAGAAAGCTTATCCAGCACTGGAACCGAAATTATGAACAAAACATGTAGACTCGAAAACTTTTAGAGGTAAAGGATGAAGTGGTTCATGAGGGAATAAAATGGAATGAGGTATTTTATTATCTAAAACCGAAGAAGGCATGCGATTAATGAGATAACATGCAGTAAGAAGAGCATCACCCCAAAAATGTTGAGGAACATCTCCATGAATTAAAAGTGTGCGAGTTGTTTCAATAAGATGTCTATTTTTACGTTCAGCTACACCATTTTGTTGAGGTGTATAAGCACAAGAAGTTTGATGCAAAATACCGTGAGAAGCCATGAATTGTTTAAAAGAATGAGAAAGATATTCACGGTCATTATCACTACGCAAAACTCTAATAGAAACACCGAACTGAGTTTGAATTTCATTAAAAAAAGTTTGAAAGATATGAAATAATTCAGAACGATTTTTCATCAAAGAAAGTAACAAAGTATTGAAAACCTAAAGTAGACTTAACGCGGCTAGGTCCCCAAATGTCAGAGTGAACCACGACAAAAGGGGACGAAACACCACGTGTGAAACTACGAGAAAAGGAATTACGACTATGCTTGCCTAATTGACATGACTCACACGCCAAACTAGATAAGTTAGACAAGGCAGGGACAAGTTTCTATAACTTGGCAAGACTTGGATGACCTAACTGAGCATGAAGAAGAGAGGGAGACTCCATAACTGTACTAACATGTGTAGAGGGACGGAGATAATAAAGACCATGAGACTCACATCCTGTGCCAATCACCTGTTTCGAACTCCGGTCCTGTAAACACACGTAATTGTTGGTAAAAGTAACAACACAATCAAGAGAACGAGTTAGACGATCGATGGAAAATAGGTTAAAAGGAGACCCAGGGACATAAAGAACATTATCAATGGTTAAAGAAGGAAAAAGTTTAACCGTTCCAACACCATGAGATGATACTCTAGAGCCATCGACCGAGTGTAATGAAGGTAAATGATTATGAGAGGATAAAGAGGAGAACAAAGATTTGTTACCGGTAATATGATCGATGGCTCCCGCATCAAAAACCCAAGGACCAGGAGAAAATGATTGGGTCGGACCAAGCAAAATATGTATTTGTATGTGTGACGGATATAGTGGAACTAGAAGACTCGTTGATTCTTATACCATTCGAGAAATTTGTTGAACATAGCAGACATGTCGGATGCAACAGAAGAAGGAAGATCCCCTGCAGATAAAGGTGGGGAAAGATTGGTCTGAACAACTACAACAGACTGAGGAGGACGACCATGTAATGTATAACACTTGTTAATCTTGTGACCTAGCTTGCCACAATGTTCACACTTAGGACGCCCTTTTTCCTGTTTGCGAAGGCGAGCCCGGTCATCATGATGGGATGTCAACACAAAAGAATCGTTAACAAAATTGGAAATAGTGGAAGAAGTCATGAAGAGCGGGAGAACAAACCCTAAAACAATCCAAAGTAATCCAATTAACCCACGAAGCACAAATCCAAAATGAGAATACTAAAAATAAGTTCGCCAAGACTAAACGGTGCAGGAGACAATGGGACGACCAACTCCGATAGTGATCATCTCAATGGCACGGTGGTCACCCGACCGAGACAAGCAAAATCATATGTCACCGGTAAAAAAAATGAAACTCCGGCGAATTCTCCGACAGCGGTGGACCGGTGGATCGCTCCAGCTAGCACGGTGACGATGAACGTGAACTAGTACACTAGGTAAGTTCCCAGGAAAGAGAGGTGGGTCACTAATGGACACACTTAAATATCAAGTCTTTTCTTGCCGTAACTTTCCTAAACATGCACTTTCACACTACCAAATAAAATTCAATGACAAAGATAATTCTTTTCTGATGTAGAGGATCAGTTTACCAGCAGCGGTGGGGCGGCTCTAGCAGCGGTGGGGCGGCTCCAACAGTGGACAAAAAGCGGAAAAAAAAATTCAAGATAACCTTAAGCTCTAGATACCATGTTGAATATAGAGAAAATAGGATTTGGAATTAATTTCCCTTGTGTATAAATCACACATAGGGTGGTCTATTTATAGTAGAGAGATACAACTAAAAGAGTAACTGAAAGTAACAGAATAAACAGAAGATATTGTTTGATATTATGGTTACCAATATCTAACAATATCAAAAAATATCTAAACAATATCTAACATTAATAATTTATATTTTTCAACAATTTATGTTGTCAATAATTTACATTACTACACTTTACCATTTTTTATTCTCTAATTTCAATTTTTTATTTGTGAATGTCTTTTTCGTCTTAATAAAATTTTCATTAATTAATTAAATATTGTCTAAAATTAATAATTTGTTAACAAATGACATCTAGAGGGGTGAATAGATGCACAAATTAAAATATATGTCAAATCAAAAATTTATTTATGAGTTAATAATTTGTTTGAACACAGATAAAAACGAAGCAATAATATAATCAGGAAAGGAGAAAGAGATAAGAGAAAAAGAAGAGCACACAAAAATTTATACTAGTTCGGGTATAGCCAACCCTACATCCAGTTCCTAGTCAACTCTTAACACAAGAGTGACTCCCTATTCACTATCTTTCAAATTCAGTTTACAAATTACAATAAACTCAGCAGAAGAACCAATAAACTAATTAAAAAGACAATTACCTCCTTAGAAACCCACTAAGGATGAACACCCCTAGAATCCCACTAGGGATGAACACCTCCTGAACAAATCAAAGGATGAAAACACCTTCTTAGAATCCCACTAAGGATGAACATCTCCCTAGAATCACGCTAAGATGAAAAACACCTCATTTTCACCAATACAAAAAGGATGAAGGTAATAAAAATAAGAACAGACACACCTGGGTAATGGAGACAACAAATTGTAGAAGCCTGTAGAATGTCAATCTCCAAGAACAAGTGTGATTAACAATGAAAACACAAAAAGCAGTAGAGAAGAAGGTTTTCTCAAAAGGTGTAAAATATCTATGTTGTCTTGCTCAAAATTCTTTTCTAAAAACTGATTGAATGTAAATTGTATTTTCGAATTCTGTAATTGTGTGTGTTTTTTATTTTTCATCAAAACTTAATTAAATAGAAAAATAGCATCAGAAAATGGTCGTTGGACATTAATAATATCATAGAGAAAATCGGGATGTATTAAAAAATATTTATTCTTTAAAACGAGATATATTTTTTAAATTTGAATTGTCATCATTGATTATATTACCAAGTATAATCAATTATGATAGAGAAAGTCATTTTTTTCATTTCGATGCATCATAATTAATTATGACAGATGAAAGATATCATGTTATGAATTTTATCACACTTATGCTTTGGAGGCTTATGCATAATATTACTTCATCAACTTGTACCTCCATATCCAGTATTCTAAGACTCTATCTAGTCTTCAGGAATCATCTTGGGCTTGCTTGAATCATCATCTTTATCAAAAACATATCTTGGACATGTAGGGAAATGTTTCACATTTTCACCAACGTCATAAATTCAGACTTGTCCTTAGTTCATCTTGAATGATGTTGACTTGAATGTAGTTAACTTGAATCATCATCAAAATCATCTATTGAAAATGTAGGAACATTTCCATCAATCTCTCCCTCATTGCTTTCAAAATTAACGTCAAAAAGTTCATAATCAAAATAGTCTTATAAATATTTTTATTAAGTTAATACGAAAAAAATCATTATAGAAATTTACTTTATATTAATGATGAAATAAGAGATTAGTTAATGTTCCTAAATTAAAATTATTATTAGTTAATCTAAATAAACATAATTTATAAGTGATAAATAATTTGTATTAAATATATTTTTTAATATCTTATCTTATTTTATCTTATTTCTAATTTATTAAAAATAGATAGATCGAGTAAACTCATTATAATTAAAATAAATTATAGATTATAACTTAATCCATTAAAAATTGAGCTAATAGAAAGGGGACTAATCCATTTACTCATTAAGTAATATTTTTTTATTAAATAAATTAAAAAATTATTATATTTATATATTAAAATATTTAATTATAATTAATAATTAATAATTTATTATTTTTTAATATTTATTATTTAAATTATAAAATTATAACATTTACATATTATAACAACGTAATATAAAAATTATTACATTTTAAATTATAATTTTTTTATTTTTATTTTAATATATAATTTTAAAAAAAATAGGTTGGCCTGTACAGCTCCACCATAATATATAAGGCAAGACAGACAAAAATATAGCAACGTGAACCTACGGTCTGATATGCTTTGTCATATATATATATATATATATATAGTATTTAGATTTACATTATATAATTTATTATTATGTTAAAATAAATATAAATAATGTAACTTTTTATAAAAAATTATATGCTTTCTTTTCAATACCACAATAAAATTTTATATTTTTTGAGATTTAAAGTACTACTCTTACAAAAAGTTTGTTTATTAGGTGGATTAAAATCGATGTAAAAAAAATAAAAATCGGTTAATCGATATAGTGTGTTCTATGTCTTAAAAAAAAGAACATAATAAAGATTTTTCTACATACATCAATTATAAAAATGAACATAATACACCACTTATTTTATATCTTAATCAAGTATTACCTATATAGTTTGACAATAACGTATAAAAAGGTTATAATTATATATTTAATGTTTTATCTTCTAAATAGATGATTGATAAGAATTCAGAAATACATAGTTTGGTTGATATGAAAAAAAGGTAATGATCATGAGTTTTTTTTTTTTATATATATATTTTCCAATATATTTTTATAGGGAAATGAAAAAAAGAGATTATGACTCCTCAATCTCCTAACGTAAACATCACATGAAATAAAATAATTAAATAAAATGTATAAATAAAATGATAAGTTTATTAATTCTTTATATAACTAATGTTTTTATAATCGATATACAAATAGATATTATATCAATTAGCTTTATAATAGATATAGAAAATAGATATTATACTGTTTTCTTATATAACTTATGTAATATCTAATTTTTATATAGATTATATAGATAATTAATATTAAAATGATTTCAACGTATATTTTTATATTAACTTTTTGTTAATTTATGTTATATTAACCACTTAACCACTTACATTCATATTTTTCTTAAAAAAACATTAAATTTAAATGAGATTTAACTTTGAATTCAAATATTTAAGTATCTTTTGATTAGATAATAAGGGTCGTGCTTTATATATACAAGTAATCAACCCTAGAATGGCCTTAATAATGTAAGAAAAAAAGGAAAACAAAAAAAACAAAAAGAAGAAAATAATGTCGTTGAGACTTTAGACATCCTCATCATCCGAAACCTTGATATTCCATTAATGCAATGAGCCAAACATTGTATTCCTTAAGTTATCTAGTTTTGCTTCTAATAAAGTGAACGAACTTCTGGTCGCCACGTGCTTTGATGTTTGATGTGAATTGAAGTCACTTTTGCAAGACACGAAAACAGCTAATAACTTCACAAGTACCATATGAAGACAGACAACAAAGAACAAATTCCATAAACCTCTAAACATGTTGGGCTTTGTTAGCAGAAGTAAAACAAATATCTTTTGTGATTGTGAACAGCTTTTTAGCCAGAGAAATGCTGTATATCCTAAACCAAACACAAAGTGTGCATATAAGACTAGGCCCCATGGCTGATTATGTCGCGACACAGACTAAGTACGTTCCACCCTTTTATTTTCATTCACTCTTGCTCATGCAAATTTAATATACTTTCATGCACAAAAACCAAGCTTACATATATTTCTAATTGACATTGAGGTAGCGACAATCCTTTCTAATTTCTCCTTCATCCCCTGTTAGAGGATTTGTCTCAGATAACAGTTGAATGGCCCTTGAGAACTGTTGGTGGAAATATTCATTGTCATTGGCCATCTTTTGGACATAAGGTGCTGTTCTTGAGTCGGTGGCAAGTTCTTCATCCACAGTGAGAAGGCCCTTGTGTTGCAAGATGTTCTTGTAGTAGTTGTTGTCAATGATCATGGGCGTTTTTAGGTCATTCCTTGAATACAAGACAGCCTTTGGATCAGGGTTGGGCGTTGGACAGCGACGTTTAAGGTACTCAGCACGTGCAGGATCAAGAGTTGTGTCCACAGTAGGGTATAATCTGTGTACAAGGTTCACGCAGTGAACTCTTCCCACTGAGTGAGCTCCTGAATCAACCAACATATTATCTTAATTCAACTTTTGATTGATTGTATTTTTCTATATTATTATTTTTTTCCTTTTGTTTTATTGGGCTAGTGTGACTTGGTTTCTGCCTAAAAGGTTAGGCATGTGTCCATATATTGCTTATGAGTATTGGTTTCGTTCAAGTAATAAAGAAAGGGTACTTAGATCTAGTTTTGACTTTTGGAAATAAATGTTATGTGTAACAAACAATACAAAATGTTTTATACCTAAAAGAGCCACTGTGGCTTCAAGGTCAATGCCAATGGCTTGAAAACGAGACAGCACTAAGGAAATGGAATCATTGTGGTTTGGAATCAAGTCTTCCACCTCCTTTGCATAGCTTTCTTTGCTATCCCTTCTCCCTGTCTTCATTTCAATGCTTGGTCCACCCAACTGTGAAATTATTAAACCACGCATTTTCAAGTTAATTCTCTTATAAAAAACCCTTTCCTTGAAGCATTAAGGACACAAAGTTAATAAATGAAAAATTTTCACACAAGTAGAAGAATATTTCACTACTAAACATTATGCTGAAATACTGAAGTAGGGTGAAAAACATTGACGATAACTGACCAAGGAAATGCCATCTCTAGCAGAAAGAGCAACAATGTCAGCGCATGACACAGTCAAGGGGCATTCTTGTTCAACTGCGGCTTTGATGGTGCTTACGTACTTGAAGTTTCTCATCCCAAAACTTCTCTCCGATGTCTGCTCTGAGACTACAGTACCATCCCGGGCTGTCTCTAACAGTAGCGATGCATCGCATGACTGCATCAGAATTCAATTCAGCATACTATGTATATGTATATGTATATGTATATGTATATTTGTTTCTGACCTTGACGACGCAATCATGGAAGAGATTTCTAACCCAGGAAACGGCAGTGTTTCCATGCTTGTGATACAGTTCTGTGACTTGTTGCTTGATGATGTCTTCTGCTTTTGGGCAGCTTGTAGAGTAGTAATTCAGCTGAAGTTGGCTTTTGCCTGTGTATGTATAACATGATATATAATATGATGAAAGAAGAGTTAGTGCAACTTCAATTCAAGCCCACATCTACATCACATTAATGCTCCATCATTGAATATTGATCAAACATGATAATAATTTGTCAATAAACTCATAACAATGTATATTATTACATATAGAAAAAACCAAAGTATAAGGAGAATATTAGATAGTTAGCTAACCCAAACAAAAGTGTGCTAGAAGCAATAGAAGGAGGAAAGAGATGTTAGGAGCCATATTCGTAGGTTGAATTGTGATTTGGAAAGAGGGAACTTGAAAGAGTTATATAGAGGTGTGATTGAATGCAGTGGACAATGAGTTTGGGTTGGAAGAGTAGAAGTGAAGGCTGTGGCCGGCTTGTGTGCATTCTCCACTACGCAACTTTCTTTGACCTTCCATCCACGCTCATGGCCCCACTCCAAAGCTACGCCTACACTTCTGCAACTATCCCTTTTGGTGTATATATATATATATATATACACACACACACACATTATTCTGCAACTGTCCAAGTTCAGGTTAGTTGGCAGAGATGATATATGAGCTATGAACGGAGAAAATATTAGGATGTATGACTTATGACTTTTGGGGAAGGGGCTGTTTGGTGATGCCTAACCCTAACAGCTTATCCTTTAATAATTTAATTTATTCTCAAATATACAAAATAAACTTTGAATAAATATAATTAGTTTATTCTTGAGTGGATAAACTTTGAATTGAATAGTTTAGAAGAAACATAGACAATAATTTAACAAAATAAATAGGAGTCGCATTTGAAAATTTGCCAATTAAGTTCTCTGCCTTACGAAAGAATCAAATTAAAAAAATTATAATAGGTTAGAGGCATTAATTCTGGCCATTCATCATTGAAGGTGTGTGCCACTATATGATAAGTGGTCAACAGTTTTTTTTTTTTTTTTGAAATAAAAATTAGTATATTTGGTCTAAAATAATTTTATTTGATTTTATAGTTTTAATTATCAGTCCAAAATATGTATAAAAAATAATTAAGAAAAGTTAGAAAGTGTAGAAGATAAAAAATTTGAAAATAAAAGCAAGAGAGACAGTGGCCTCTGAAATTGGAATACGTGTCATTCCTCATTGTCATTAGTGGTATTAATTATATTCACACAGAAACACCTGGTTCTAATTCAACCATGTAAGAGGAAGCACCACACACACCAAAACATGTTATGTAATGTCTTTTAATTTAAAAATACATTATTAAAAACATTTAATTAGGTATTTTGTTCTTTTTTTAATATAAATAATAATATACATTAATTGTTTTTATTTATTGTCAAAATTATCAAATATGTTATAAAAAATAAAGTTTAATTATTATTTTTTTAATTCATTAACCTACTTCCTCAATTTCTTTTATTGTCCGAGGATAAGACGTGTAGTATTTGAACTAATGATAAAATGCTTAAAAAAATTATAATTGTAGGGTTTGTCTCACAAATGGTTATAAAAATTGGTTAAGTTATATATTATATTTAAATTCATGATTAACTATACTCATCCGTCACAATTGTATAGTATATTTGATATGTAACAATATTTTAAATTAAAATATCCTAATAGATGTGATATTTATTATTTGATGTGTTTTAAAAAATATACTTGTTTTTACATATGGTTTTCTTAACTCGTGTAAATAAGGTAATAAAAACATCCAAAATTAATAATGAAGAATTTTTTTGGTGTTAAGTTGTTTGGAATAAAAATGGATAACATCTTGATTGGATTTTTAAGAAATAGGGCAACTACAATTAAATAAATTTTAGACTTCAAATTCATAGTTATCCAACTTAAGAAAGAGAAACTACAAATAATTATCTTATATTCTTCATGAAAATTATTATTCATAAATAATTTCTTTCAAATAACAAATCATAAGTAAATAGTGGTCTCCATGTTATAAAAAAATATTTTTCTTACCATAATATAATAAATATTTGCATTTAGTATAATTAAAATATTTATTTAATTTTAATTATTCTATTAAATTTTTAATTACTATCATTAAAAAAATAATTAATTTATGTCTCGTAACTATTAAATAATGTTTTTACTAATGTGATTATTTTAATTATATTAAAATTTGATTTCACGAAATATAATAACTAATTATAAATGTGTATTATTAGAGTCGTAATTTTGCAAAATATATTTTGGTAAATTTGGAACAATATTAAATAAATTATTTCCACACATACAAGCATGCCTGTCACTTATATAGACATAAAAAAGTGACTTATTTAATGATAACTAAAATTTTAATAAAATAAATTAATAATATATAAAAATTAAACAAAATATTTAAATTATACTAAATAATAAATATTTATTACAGTTATTATATGAAAAATATATTTTATTTAAAAAAAACTACAAATATTTGCATTAAAAGTAATTTCAGAAAACTAATTAGTAATTTTTTTTAATACATGTAATTTTATAAAAAATGCACATGTAATTACCAATACTATGTTGTCGGAGGGAAGGGGATAGAAAATAAATTTAATCACCACAAAAATTTGCATTAAAAGTAATTTTAGAAAACAAATTAGTGGAAAATTCATTCCGGAAAAAAGTGTTATGATGGTAACATTGCCAGTTTTAATTATCTTTCAATATTCAATAATAATAATAATAAAAACAATTAATGTAGTTCCATCACACTATTATAACCTCTTTCTTAGGAAACTAGTGAAAAGTTAATTTCCAAAATTAATTAGAAGTTTAGATATCACTTTTATATTTTGAGTATCATAAGTGACGTATATATATTAAATTATTATTAAATATTTTAAATTGTTTTGTTTTTATCTTTCTAATTTTATATATTTAAATCCTTTAATTATTTTTCAATAATAATTTTATATATAATTGACTTGAAATCACGATTTTAAATTTAAAATCATGCAAAGAATAATTATAAAATATACAATTAATTTGAATAAATATATTAAATTTTATAATTTTGATACTTGTGTTTTTATTTTTATATGTATGATGTTAATTATTATTAATTTTTATTTAAAAAATAATTTATTTTTACTAATTAGGTTCCAATAGCGTATCTTGTAGTAATTACTTTATGAAATAATTAAAGTCTTCTAAACACCAAGAGAAATAAGATAAATGATGTTATTGGAGGGAACAACGTTTGCAAAAATGAGTTTTAAAATTCATGAGGTGTATAATTGCTATATGGCTACCTTAAATCATGCAAAATATTTTAATCAACATAATCAGTATTGCGTTTAGTTAGTTTCCTTGTCGTAATGATTTCGTAGTTGTCATAAACCATTTGTGTCATAATCTCATATCTGAATAATTATTTTTAAAAAGCTATTTTATATTCAATGATTATATAAAATCTAAACAAACTTTTACACCACACACATTTTTGTTAAAATTTTGAGTAAATAAAGTCAAATTTAGATTTAATTTTTTTAACGAATATTAAAACTAGATGTGGCAAAGTCTCATCTAACTTGTCCTATTATCCTTGCTAGTTATTAACCTAGACGAAACCTATATTTATTTATAGTTTTATGATATAAAAATGTTGGGATAATTAACAAGGAGAACTCTAAACTTTAATGACATGCTTTTAGCTCCATGAATGGAAGTTCAAAAGAATTTATGCAAAGTTGCAAACCCTTCTTCAATATATCATTCCTCCACGCCTCCAATAGTTTATTTAGGTTAAGGGAAATGGGAAAAGCAACTTTTCAACACGGATTCATCCTCAACATGTTTAGGTTATCGGATTATTTTTAAATATTCACTTGCACCTTCTTAAAATATCAGACTTAAATTTTAATATGATATTAAAGTAAAAAGTTTAGCTTATTTTGGATTGTTATTTTGAGTTAAGTTATTTTTTCTAATAGTGACAAATCGAGAAACGTATTAGAAGTCTGGATTGTTAATTATGTTAGATTAAAAATTGTCCTCAGTAAAAAACATCCAATAGTGTGATATAATTTAAATAATTTAAATAATTAAATTAATTCTAACATTCTCTCACTTGACTCATATGATATCATACAATTTTGTGATTTAATTCTAACATTCTCTCACTTGACTCATATGATATCATACAATTCTGTAATTTAATTCTAACATTCTCCCACTAGACAGTCTTCAAAGCATATATCCACAACCATATAGGTATACATGAATTACTTAACATGCTCATAACTATATCCATTAAGTTCAATTACACTTTTTTGTCACATCCTTTTGTTGTGGTGTGTCTTTTGTTGCAGTGTGTCTGACATTGTGTATTGAGCATAAATACCACGTTTCTTAAGGAATTTAGCAAATGGACTAGGGTGTTGTCTATTTTTATCATATCTTCCATAATACTCACCACCTCTATCTGACCTGACAATTTTCATATTTTTGTCTAATTGCCTCTCAATTTCATTTATATAAACTTCCAAGGCATTCACTGCTTGAGATTTCTCATGTAGTAAATAGACGTATCCATAACGCGAGAAATCATCAATGAAGGTGATGAAATACTTTTCTTTATTAAAAAAATTTACATCAAATGGACCACATATATCAATATGCATGATTTCAAGAAACTGAGTGCTTCTTGTGGCTCTTTTCTTTTTGTGTTTTGTTTGTTTTCCTTTAATACAATCTACACATATATTCATATTAGTAAAATCTAAATATGGAAGGATTTTATTCTTTACTAATCTTTGCATTCTTTCTTTAAAAATATGTCTCAAACGCTTATATCACAAGTAAGAAGATTGATCATCCACCAAAGTACGTTTAGTGCCAACATTGTGATGCAAGGTCATGAGAGTTCCAACATATAAATCATCCAAATTTAATTTATATAAACCATCATAAAGTGTTCCAGATCCAATAATAAAAGTATGGTTAAACAAACTCAAACAATCATTGCCAAAATTAAAAGAGTATCCAACAACATCAAGCTTAGACAAAAGAAAACTAAATTCACTACTAGAAAAATGTCAAATAGTAACTGAAATCAGTGACCGAAAAAATTAGTTACTATTAGTAACCGAATCAGTAACCAAATTGTTATTTTTTAGTTTAGTAAATGAAATAGTAACCGAATTTTCGGTCACATAAAATCGGTTACTATTTCGAGTCACTTTATTATTTAATTTATTTTTTTAATTAATCTACATTTAATTTATGTAATTATTTTTGTTTTTCAATTATCCATGGGAATT